GGACCCAGGGACCCCCAAATCGTTACGGTGACAAGAGCCCCAAGGGGAAACCCCCCACACGTTTACGATACCGAATGGAAGGAGCGTAGAAACATAGGGCCTCAACATCCGTTTGTCCTACTGACATCTACAGCCCATAACGTCGCTTACTTGGATCTCAAATATCCCAATGCCGACTCGTCGTAGATGCTCTTGCTTAAAATACCAATAAATCATCTAACACCTACCTTCGAACGCAACTCTCTGTCTTGTCCTAACTACAAAAGGAATCATAGTATCAAGGGGACAGACGACATCCACCCCCCCAAACCTCGCGGGCGGCTCGCAACACAACCACCACTTGAACAGCCAAACCACACCTAACGTTCAAGTAGTCAATGGAACCTAAACAATAACTCACAACCACACACAACGCCTAACGTTTTCCTCTTTACCAAACCAACCAACATCCGGCCCCGCAATGCGTTAATCAAACCCACATAAACCACTCTCTACCTAGATTCTTAATCAACATCTTCAACAAGGCCCCAACAAAAACCAACATCACTTCCACGGCTCGCCAAAACAAATCCTATTTCTTCGCCAACCATGGCGAATGTCCTCCTTCACTAGGGCGCACTAACCAAAATCTCCATCATCATCCCTCCTCCATTCACAAATAATCATAGTTAGTTACCGGTAAACATACCCGACTGCACGTCCATAACATGCTCTGCTACTCTCACGGCTACGAGCACCACACCCACACCCCCATTAACTCCTCATAAAAGGTTGGCCCAAACCTCCCTCACCTACCCCACGTCAGAGTTACCGAACACATAGTTATCAACGTACAAAAACTAAAACCATATATCTACTGCCAACCACTCTATACGTTCAGACTTCGTGGTTAACTCTGGAGTAACCCAAAGGCTTAAGCCCGACACCCCCTTCACTCAAATCTCACCTACCATAATTAAAAACAACACTCCCTCAATTGCTAACGTCACTTAACTTCCTAAATCTTATCCAATAGTTACTTCTTCACACTCCATCCGCTGCTAGCTTCCTTGGGTATTTCCCTTCTATAGTACTTCTTACTTGCCACTCCCGACCCCTTATAAAAAGCGCGCCCACCTATCTACAGACCCAAAATAGCACAAGCTCCCCTATCTCCTACCCGGACTCGACCAACAATTAGCATCCTCGATACCAAACCATAAATCAATCCGTCGCAGCCCCCTATGACTAACCACAAGCTCGAAACCTAGATAACTCGTCCACAACCACACCCCCCATACAGAACCAACTTAGACCACAGCGAAACCTAGCAACCCAATCGACAATTACGATAGCCTACCCAGCATAATCTCCCCCCTATAGCCAAGACGTATAAATTTTACCAACATCCCAAGCGCCCATCCACTACACAACATCCAACCATCCACATCCTTGTTCCCCCCAAGTATCTAAGGATACTGCACAAAGAACAGTATACTTTCACTACCCTACAGGCATCATTTCAGCAAAGAAGGTATGTCATCAAAAAGCACTCGACCGTGTCCCAATACTCGCGACGTATTTTAAGTGATGAATGAACGCTAGAAGTTAATTTACTGCATTACAGCACCCAACACCAAACAAATTCTCAACTTCGAAAAACACCCGCACACGTAAAAACAATCAACTGATAAATACCCCAACATCCCGACCTCCTATTTAGGCAAAAATCCTAAGCTAATCCCTCCCCACTTCTCTCGGCCTCTCACCTGTTCAATCCAACACACTTCCAAATGTCTTCAATAATTAATCTAAACCCTATACCTGACACAAACATCTCCCACAATGACGTTCCAAACTTTACGCCACCACCCACCCTCCCTTATACCCTCCCCACCATCCTACGTAAGCCCATCATAGTACATAGAATAATACATTGTTCGCCCACCACACTCACCATGACATTACCGCAGTTCATCCATCCAGACTCAAACCTATAAGGGTAGCCATTTTATGAGTCATTAAGCCCCCACCATTCAACAAACTCGCAACCCCCACTTGGACACCTTATGATATAAAAAAAAGGTCTCATATCCAAGAGTATTCAGCAAACCTCCTTTCACCCCCCACATACAATTTGCCCTCCCCTCGCTCAGTCTACCCCTAAGACCAACTTATAGGCAGCTACATTTATCCTAACCTATAATACATCCGAACTATTAACCTATACAAGCTCGCCAAAGCTACCCACATAACCACCATCTGCTTTTAATTGTCCTTCCCGCCGCCACACTCCCAAAACCGCAAACTTAGAAAAAGGCACTCAACTCCACTCTAACTACATCCCAACCTCCTACTCACGCAAAACTAGCCACCGATCCTCGCCCCGCGCCCCCTGATAACCTTCCGCGAAAAAAAGAAAAAATCCCCACCTGGCAAAAAACCTTCCATAAACTCCCTGGTCACAGCAACAGGAATACATGAAGCACAAAGCAAATCTATGATTGTAGGAAAAAATCAAGCGAAGGAAAAAGTTCCCACGTCTCGCCGGAGAGAGAGGCGGGGTTTTCCGTTCCTCGGGTTCGGAGTCGACCACCGCCGCCTATCGCGCCTTCATGGAGCACGCGCGGTGGGTATGGAAGGGCAGGGAAACAGTCGGCGGGCAGTTATACAGGACGCGGCGCGCGGTTAAAGCGCACGCGGACATCGGGGGGATCGGGCGCGGCTGGTGGAGGCCATCGGCGCGTCCCCTATGCCGGAGGCGCTGGAGACGGCGATCGACACGGCTACCGCTCTTCTGGAGGAGAGACGGATCGGGCCGGCGTGCCGGTTGCCGTGCGCTCCAGCGGCGAGGCGGAAGACCTCGCTGACGCAAGCTTCGCCGGCCAGTACGATACCTATCTCTGGATCGTCGGCGCCGATGCGGTGCTCCGCCAAGTCAGGGCGTGCTGGGCCAGCATGTTCGGCGATACGGCCCTCACTTACCGGGCGGGCGGTGACGACGCCGCGGCCGCTGGCGGCGGCATCTGCGTCGGCATCCAGCAGATGGTGGAAGCGCGCGCCGCCGTGTCATGTTCACCCTCGACCCGCTGAACGGCGACCGCTCGAAGATCGTCATGGAGGCGTGCTGGGGTCTCGGCGAGGGTGTGGTCAAGGGCGACGTGACTCCAAGCCGGTTCACGATCGACAAGGTGACGTTGGAGATCGTCAAGCGAGATGTCGTGTCTCAGTCGGAGGAGTACCGCTTCGATCCCGCCTCGGGTGCGGTCAGGCTGATGCCGATCGCGCCCGAACGGGGGGAATCCGTCTGCATCGACGACACCGAGGCGCTGGCACTCGCGAAACTCGCGAAACGGATCGAGGGACGGCGCGATGCGGCGCAGGATATCGAATGGGCGATCGGCGCAGGCGGCGATGTGCGCATCCTCCAGGTCCGGCCAGAAACGGTGTGGAGCCAACGAGAGAGCGCGGGCCTCGTCTCCGAGAGCAGGACCGCCGTCGGACACGTGCTCGCACGGCTCTCGGGCGGCCGGGTGGCAGCGTGCAGGCCCCGGACACCGAAACCCGTGAAGAGCGCCGACTTCGCCTATCACCGCCCAAGCGACATCGCGGACGCGGTGCGCTACCTGCAAGACTACGACGGCGGCGCGCGCGTTCTGGCCGGCGGCCAGAGCCTGGTGCCGATGATGAACATGCGGCTCTGGCGACCCGAGGCGCTGATCGACATCAACGGGCTGACCGGCCTCGCCGAGCTGACGATAGAGGGAGACGAAACGCGGATCGGCGCGCTGGTCCGTTACACCACGCTGGAGTTCTCGCCGGTCGTCGCCGAGCGCCTGCCCTTGTTGCGGGCGATGGTGGCCTTCGTCGGCGACCGCCAGGTGCGCAATCGCGGGACGATCGGGGGCAGCCTGGTGCAGGGGGACCCGACGGGCGAGATGCCGCTGGGCTGCCTGGTCCTCGACGCAAGCGTCAGCGTGCTTGGGCCATCCGGCGCGCGCAGCATCGCGATGACCGACCTCTACGAAGGCGCCTACGCGGCCACGCTCGCCCCCGACGAGCTGCTGACGGAGATCCGCTTCCCCCGGCATCCACCGCACTTCGCCTTTCGCGAGTTCTGCCGCAGACACAATGATTTTTGCGTGCTCTCGGTGGCTGCGGCGGGGCGGGTCTCGGACGTCGGCCGCTGGAGCGGGCTCCGCATCGGGCTCGGCGGGGTCAACGACACGCCCGTTCTGGCCGACGCTAGCATGGCATTGCTGGAGGGGGGCCGCCTCGACGACGCGGACATCGCGGCGGCGGGCGAGGCCGCGCGCAGCGCCATCGATCCGCCGGACGATATCCGGGGGTCGGCCGAATACCGCGCCCACCTCGTGCCGCTTTACGTCGCGCGCGTGCTGCGCGATCTGCGCACCTCGGCGCTTGGCTGACTCCGGCCGGGCGCGAGAGGTCGAACGATGAAGTTTCGCCACGAGTTCCGCGTGCGGGAGAGCAGCGACAAGGTCTGGCGCTTCTTCGAGAGCCGCTGGAGGTCGCGCGCTGCATCCCCGGCGTCGAAGCGGTGGAGCCGATAGAAGACGGCGATGACAGCTATTCCGTCCGCGCGACCCAAAAACTCGGGCCGATGTCGGCGACCTTTCAGGCCAAGGTCCGCATCACCGAGCGCGTCCACGGAGAACGGATCGAATTCACCGCGACGGGAAAGGCCGTGCGCGGCGCGGTCGGCAACTTCAGGGCCCAGAACGCGGTCACGCTCATACCGGCGGGCGACGAAACCTGCGTCGCGGTGGAGGGTGAGGTCGCGCTGGCCGGCGTGCTCGGCACTGTCGGAAGCGCGGTGATCAACAAGCAGGCCGCAAAGACAACCGCCGCGTTCGCCTGCAACCTGGAGCAAGCGCTCTCGGCTGCGGGAGAGCCGCGCGCCGGGTCCCGGCCGGAGGAGGCCATCGTTGAGCGGGAATGAGCGCGCGATCGGCTTCCGGCTGAACGGGGAGTCGGTGACGGCAGACGCACCTGTCCGCATGCACGCGGCCGACTTCCTGCGCCATCGCCTGGGCTGGACCGGCACCCACGTCGGTTGCGAGCAGGGCGTCTGCGGCATGTGCACGATCCTGGTCGACGGTGCCGCGATCAAGTCCTGCCTGATGCTCGCCGTGCAGCTGGACGGCACGGACGTGCAAACGGTCGAATCCCTGGCCGAGGACGACCGCCTGACGACGCGCAAGACGCCTTCAAGCGGCACCACGCGCTGCAATGCGGCTACTGCACGCCGGGCTTCCTGATGCTGGCGGTGAGCCTGAAGGCCAGCGGGCGCACGCTCTCCCGCGCGGAGATCCGGGAGGAGCTCGCCGGCGTCCTCTGCCGCTGCACCGGCTACGAGAACATCCTGCGTGCGGTGGAGGATTATGTGAGCGCGGACCGCGCCGAGGAGCCGCCGTCGCGAGGCGTCGCGGTGAGCGCGCCGCGCCAGAGCTCTGATCGGCGCATCCCTCCCGCGCAAGGAGGACGATCGTCTGCTGCGGGGCGACGGTCTCTTCACCGATGACGTGCACCTCGCCCACCAGCTTGAGATGGCGGTGGGCCGCTGCCCTTTCCCCCGCGCCGCGATTGGCGCGATCGACTCGTGACCGAGGCCCGCGCCGTGCCCGGCGTCCGGCACATCCTGACGGGCGCCGACGTGCGGGCCGCGAGCGGGCCGCTGACGGTGCTGAGGCCGTGCCCGGCGCGCCGTTGCTGCCCTACTACGCACTGGCGGCCGATCCGGCGATCCACGAGGGCCAGCCGGTGGTGAGCGTGGTCGCGACGAGCCGCGCGATTGCAGAGGACGCGCTGGACCTCATCGACATCGACTACGAGCCGCTGCCGCATGTGACGGACACGCTGGGCGCGCTCGCCGACGACGCGCCGGTTCTGCATCCCGAGACGCTGACCTCGAACCTGCTGGCGAGCAACGTGGACCGCGCGGGCGATCCGGAGGATCGCATGGTCGCCGCCGAGGTCGTCGTCGAGGGGCGCTTCCGTGTGAACCGGGTGAGCGCGCTCCCCATGGAGCCGCGCGGCATCGTCGCCCATTGGCGGGCAGGCGCGCGCACGCTGGAGGTCCATGCCTCCACCCAGACGCCGCACTTGATCCGGCAGCAGTTGGCGGAGTGCCTGCCTCTCGATGAGGGATGCATTCGGGTCATCGCATCCGATGTGGGCGGCGGCTTCGGCATGAAGCTCGGCCTCTATCCGGAGGACGTGCTGGCGGTGCTGCATGCGATGGCGCTCCGGCGACCGGTCAAGTGGATCGAAGACCGCCTCGAGTTTTTCCGCGCCAGCACCCATGCGCGCGAGGCCGTGCACGACGTCCGTATCGGCGCGGAGCGCCGATGGCCGCATCGTCGCGATCACCAACCAGTACACCACCGACCTCGGCGCCTGGAACTCGACGTACGGCTCGGCGCAGCTCTCGAGCGTGGTCTTCACCGGCCCCTACAAGGTGGCCGATGCGGCCGTCGAGCGCCGCGTCGCGCTCACCAACAAGACCCCGATCGGGGCCTATCGCGGCTACGGTCAGCCGGAGGTCAATTTTGCGCTGGAGGTCCTCATCGACCGGCTGGCGCGCCGCCTGAGATCGACCCGCTGGAACTGCGCCGGAAGAACATGTTGCGGCCGGAAGATCTGCCCTGGACCACGCCGAGCCGGGCCGTCTACGACAGCGGCGACTATCTGAAGACCCTGGAGATGGCCGCCGACGCCGTCGATTACGACGGGCATCGCGCCGGCCGCCGGGAAGACCGGGGCGACGCGCGGCTGACGGGCATCGGCTTCGCCTCCTTCGTCGAGCGCACGGGTTATGCCAGCGCGCGCTTCCTCGCGGCCGTGGCTCACGCTTCGGCGCCCACGAGAGCGTGATCCTGCGGGCGAACCGCTCCGGCGGCATCGACCTCTACACCGGCGTTTCGACCTTCGGCCAGGGGAGCGAGACCGTCTTCGCCCAGATCTGTGCCGAGGTCTTCGGCATCGACTACGAGGCGATCACGTCCATGCCGGCGACAGCGGGGCATCGCCCGCTCAACACCGGCGCCTTCGCCTCACGCACGCTGATCGCGGCCGCCGGCGCCATCCGCGAGGCCGCCGACGCGCTCCGCGACAAGACCCTGCGCATCGCGGCCATGGTCCTGCAATCCAAGCCCGAGGCGCTGGAGGTGAGCGGCCGCGCCGTCCGCGTCCGCGACGAGCCCGGGCGCACCGTGCCGCTCGCCGACATCTTCACCCGCGCAATCATCGGGCAGGGGATTCCGGAGAGCGAGAGCCGGGTCTCGAAGCGACCGCGCACTTCGAGCCCACGCACGCGGCGTTCTCGTTCGGGACCGCCGCCGCCGTCGTCTCGGTCGATCCCGAGAGCGGCGCGTTCGACGTGGAGCGTTTCGTCATGGCCCACGACTGCGGCGTCGCGGTCAACCCGCCTCTGGTGGAGGGCCAGGTGCGCGGCGGCCTGGTGCAGGGGCTCGGCGCAGCGCTCGCGGAGGAGCTTCGCTACGACGAGGGCACCGGCCAGCTCGTGAGCGGCAGCATGCTGGATTACTTCGCGCCGACCATCATGGATGTCCCGCGCATCGACCTGGTGCACACGGAGGTTCCGTCCCCGGTCACGACCTTCGGCGTGCGCGGCGTCGGTGAGGTTGGCACGATCCCGCCGGCAGCAGCGGTCACCAACGCCGTCTGCGACGCGCTGGCGGACTACGGCGTGGAAATCTCGGACCTGCCGCTGACCCCGGAGCGCGTCTGGCAGGCGCTTTCGCAGGCAAGGGACGCCCGCGCGGCCCGCGCGCCACGATGAGGTAGCTGACATGGATTATCCCGTCCGCGGCCGCTACGGGAACGCTGCGCTCTCGCCGCTGGAAGACGACGCCATGCAATGGCTCGACGGCTTCTATCAGCTGGAGCATCTCATCGCGACGCGGATGTGGGCGATCAAAATCTGCCCGAAGCCTCGCGGAAGTACAATTGCAGCGCTGGTGCATGACGCCGAGCGGTTCTTTCCCCGGCGGTCCCTCCAGCACAGCCGAGCAACGGCTTCGACGACCCCGACTATCTCTTCGCGCATTCCACCCGGTCCGGCGGATATCGTCGAGGAATGGTTGCGCAACCGCTCGCCGGCGCCGAACGAGAGCTTCATCCGGCGCGTGCGCCGGCTCATCCTGCGGCACGAGATCGGCGGCGGGTGGGAGGCCGACTTCGTGCAGGCGGCAGATTCGCTCTCCTTCCTGGAGACCCTGGATTGGATCACCGTCGATTGGGTGCGGAGCGGCCCTTACACCGTCGCCCAGGCGCGGGAGAAGCTGGACTTCACCGTGGAGCGCATCCGACCCTCCATCGCCGTGGCCGCGGCGCTCCCGCTCTACGAGAGCGCCGTGCGTGCCCTGGACGCCGCCGAAGACTGCACGATGGACTTGAAGCGACGGCGCGCGTTGGCGAGCAGCCGATCGTTCCTGTTCGGACTACCTGTCTCGAAGGCGGGATGAAGGCGACCGGCCTGCTCATGCGCCAAGCCTGAGCGAACGTTCCCTCTCCCAAGTTCGCTCCCGCGCCGGCGCGGATCGTCCATCCCGAACCGCGCCAAGCGATCACACCCCTCGGTCTCGACATACACCGTCGATGGAGGGGCGCCGCGGCCCAAATTCATATTGACAGGCAGTGCGACAACGGCGCATCGTTATCGAGTTATCGAAATAGTTTTCGATAAACGTAAGTTCGGGCTGCGTCGATAGACCATCGACGGGACGCCTAAAGGCCCGGCATCCGGAGGCAGCGCCATGCCGAATGGATGGCAAGTCGGTATCGATGTCGGCGGTACGTTTACCGACGTGATCGCCGTTCATCGAGCGCGCGGCGAGGTGAGAGCCGCGAAGGTTCCCTCCCGCACCGACGATCGCATCGCCGGACTGGTGGCAGCACTCGGCGCGGTCGATCTCGCATGGTCGGACGTGGACGATCTGATCCACGGCACGACCATCGTCACCAACTGCCATCATCCAAGGCGATCATGCGATGTCGCCCTGATCGCCACGCGCGGCTTTTCGGACACGCTCGCGATCGGGCGCCAGAACCGGCGCCACCTCTACCGGCTCGACCTGCCGCCCAAGCTCACGCCCCAGGTCCCCGCCGAACGCCGCTTCGAGGTGACCGAGCGGCTCGACCACGACGGCCGGGTCCTGGTCGCGTTGGACCCGGCGTCGGTCGAAGACGCGATCGCGCGCGTCGCAGCGAGTGGTGCGGAGGCGGTTGCCGTGTCGCTGCTCCATTCCTACGCCAACCCTGCCCACGAGGAGGCCTTGGGCGAGCGCCTGCGCGCAAGGGTCCCCTACGTCGCGCTCTCGCACCGGATCAATCCCGAGGCCCGCGAGTACGAACGGACGGCGACGACGGCACTCAGCGCCGGAGTTATGCCGCTGGCGGCGGCGTACATGGACGATCTGGAGAGGGCAAAGCCGGAGAAATCCGGCCTGCACCTCTTCCACTCCGCCGGCGGCATGGCATCGCCCGAAGCCCTGCGCGACCTGCCGCTCGGCCTCGCCGCCTCGGGCCCTGCGGCCGGCGTCGCTGCAGCGGGCCGCATGGCGCGCGCGCTTGGAATCGAGCGTGCCATCAGCTTCGACATGGGCGGCACCACCACCGATGTCTGCCTGATCCTCGACGGCGAGGCGCAGATCGCGAGCGACCGCTCCCTCGGCGGGCGGCCTTTGCGGCAACCCATGGTCGCGGGTGGAGTCCATCGGCGCGGGCGGCGGGTCCATCGCCCGGCTCGATCACGGCTCCCTGCTCGTGGGGCCCGAGAGCGCCGGCGCCGATCCCGGACCCGCCTGCTACGCCAAGGGCGGCGACCGGCCGACCGTGACCGACGCCAATCTGGTGCTCGGTTACATGGATGTGGAGCGCGTCCTCGGTGGCAACGTGCGCCTCGATGCGGCTCTGGCCCGCGGCGTCATCGCGCCGCTGTCTCAGGCCATGGACATGACGCCGGAGGCCGCGGCGCTGGGGGTCGTCAAGGTGGCCAACGCCGCCATGTTGCGTGCGCTGCGTCGGGTGACCGTGGAGCGCGGCGTCGACGGGCGCACCTGCACCCTCCTCGCCTTCGGCGGCGCAGGCCCCATGCATGCGGTGGCGCTGGCCCGCGCCTTTTCCATCGACAAGGTGGTCGTCCCGGCTCACTCCAGCATGTTCTCCGCCCTCGGTTGCGTCGGCGCGGAGATGAGCTATGCGCAGCAGCGCACGCTGCGGGTGGCCTCGGACACGTGGGATGGGGAACGCGTGGACCGGGCACGGCGCGAGCTCCGCGCGACCCTCGCTGCTCCCATACGGGCGGCCGGCCATGACGACGACCATCTGACGGTCGAGGAGGTGGCGTCGATTCGCTACCGGGGCCAGAGCTACGCCATCGAGATCGCGGGCGCCGCCTTCGACGATCCGGTGCGCCTGGGCCGCGCCTTCATGGACCGCCATCGGACGCTCTATGGCTTCGCCACGGAGGAGCCGTGGGAGCTGGAGTCGATCCGGGTGCGAGTCTCGGCGCCTCGCAACGGCGAGGCCCATCCGCCTGCCGCCAAGGCCAACGAAAGCCCCCTCACCCACCAAGATGTTCCGGTGCACGTTCGAGTCCGGCGAAGCCACGATGACGCCGCGCTACGACCGCGCGGCCTGGGTCTGATTGCACGCTGGAGGGGCCGGTCATCGTCGACGATGCATGGTCGACCGTCGTCGTGCCGCCCGGCGCGACGCTGACCGCCGACGACGCCGGTCATCTCCACATCGCCACCGGGGTCGAGTCATGAATGGCAGCCATCGACCCGGTGACTCTGGAGGTCATCCGCCACGCGCTGACGGCGACGGCGGAGGAAATGTCGCTCGTGGTCATGCGCTCGGCGCGCTCGCCGCTGCTGCGCGAGGCCGGGCGATCTCTCGTCCGCGCTCACCGATGCAGACGGCCACCTCATCGCCCAGGGCCGCGACATCCCGCATGCACATGGGGGTCATGAGCTTCACCGTCCGCGAATTCCTGAAGCGGGTCCCGGCGGCGCGGCTGGAGCCCGGCGACGTGTGGTTCCTCAATCTGCCGGAGGTCGGCGGCAATCCTTGCCTGACGTGAAGGCGATCCGGCCGATCTACGCGGAGGGTGAGATCGTCGCCTTCGCGGCAAGCCTCGCCCACTGGGCGGATATCGGCGGTGCCGTGCCCGGCAGCTAGTCGCGGCGCCACCGACGCCTGGCAGGAGGGGCTCCGCATTCCGCCTTCCGGCTCTTCACCGCAGCGGGCCCCGACCGCGAAAGCTCGACATGGTTGCGCCAACGTGCGGGGCGCAGACGAGCGCGAGGGCGACATTCTGGCGCAGCTCGCAGCAGCCGGGCCGCGGAGGAGCGCGTGCACCACATCGTGGCCGAGCACGGCAGGGAGACGGTGTTGGACGCCATCGCCGCGATCCACGACCGGGCCGAGGCGCAGATGCGCGCGGCGCTCGCGGCGATTCCCGACGGCACCTACAGGGGCGAGGACTGGCTCGACGACGATGCCGGCGGCGGCGGGCCGGTTGCCGTTCGTGTTCTGGTGACGATCGAAGGCGACCGGGCGTGCTTCGATTTCTCCGAGACCGACGACGCGGCGCGGGGGCCCGTGAACACCACGCCCTTCATCGCCGCGGCGTCCGTCTTCTATGTGGTCAAGACCCTGTTCGGACCCGACATCCAGCCGAGCGGCGGCTGCTACCGACCGCTGGAAATTGTGACCCGTCCCGGCTCCCTGCTCGATCCGTCCCCCGAAAGCCCCGTGGTGGGCGGCAATCACGAGACCTCGCAGCGGATCGCCGATGCCGTGTTCAAGGCCCTCGAAGCCACCGGGCCGGAGCGCATTTCCGCCGGCGGGCCGACCACGTCGGGGCTGGTGCTCTTCGGCGGGCGACGGGCCGACGGCGCCTGGACCACCCTCTACGAGGTCCACGGCGGCGGCGAGGGCGCGCGGCACGACCGCGACGGTGCGCCGGTGGTGCGCGTTCACATGTCCAATGTGATGAACACCCCGGCCGAGGTGGTGGAAGCCGAATACCCCATCCGCATCGAATGCCAGCGCCTGCGCCAGGGCTCGGGCGGCGCGGGCCGGCGGCAAGGTGGCGAAGGCCTGCACCGCGAGTATCGCGTGCTCACCGACGACATGTCGGTCACCTCCATGTTCGAGCGCCGTGTCGTGCCGCCCTACGGCCTGCAAGGCGGCGGCGACGGCGCGCCCTTCCGGGTCACCATCGTCCACGCGGACGGCCGCCGCTCGGTGATGCCGGGCAAGGCCAACCTCCGGCTCGGCACCAACGACGTGGTCATCGTCGAGAGCTGCGGCGGCGGCGGTTACGGCGAGCCGGAACCGACAGGCCAGTGAACGGATGAACGACGCAAGCAAGGGAACGATGCAGTGAAAGTGGACGGCAAGAAGGCGATCGTCACCGGCGCCGCGAAGGGCATGGGCGCGGCCATCACCACGACGCTGGCGCGCGAGGGCGCCGACGTCGTGCTCACGGCCCGCGAAACCGACGCGCTCGATCGGGTTGCCGGGGATGTCCGCGCGCTCGGGCGCGAGGCCCACGTCGTGGCCTGCGATGTCACCGACGATGCGCAAGTGAAGGCCATGGTCGATCGGGCGCTCGCGGCCTTCGACGGGGCGCATCGACATTCTGGTCAATATCGCCGGTGTCACCGGCCCCATCGAGACGCCGGTGCAGGACATCGACGTGGCGGACTTCGACTACGTCATCACGGCCAACGAAATCGGTACCTTCCTGCCCATCAAGTATGTGGTGCCGACCATGATCGCGCAGAGGAGCGGCAAGATCGTCAACATCGGCGGCACCTCGGGCCTGCGCGGCTACGCCATGCGGACCGCCTACAGCGCGTCCAAATGGGCGGTACGCGGGATTACCCGCACGGTCGCGCTCGAGGTCGGCAAGTACAACGTCAACGTCAACGCCGTCTGCCCCGGCATCGTCGAGACGCCGCGCATGCAGAAGCTCTGCGAGGAGAAAGCCAGAGTGCGCGGCTGGACGATCGACCAGGTGTACGACGAATACGTTCAGGAGATGTGCCTGAAGCGCGTGACCACGCCGGACGACGTGGCCAACGCCGTGTTGTTCATGGCGAGCGAGGACAGCCGCCAGATCACCGGCCAGGCCATCACGGTCGACGGCGGCTGGGACGTGTGAGGCGGCAGCGCAGGCGATAACGGGAGGCGTCACGATGTACACGCCGTTCGAGTTGGACATTCCGAACGACCTGGCCGGCGCTCTGGCGGCCCTCGCCAACGGTGCCGGCGAGACCGTCCTGCCACTTGCCGGGGGCACGAACCTCATCGTCGACATTCGCGCCAAGCGCGAGCGGCCGGACCGGATGGTGGGCCTCGGCGAGGTCGACGAGTTGCTTGGCATGGATTCGGCCTGAGCGCATTACCATCGGCGGGTCGCACCACGGTGAGCGACCTCCTGCGCTCGCCCGAGATCGCCCGGGCGGCACCGTCGCTGATCGAGTCCGCCCGCCTCTTCGGCGGCCTGATGGTGCGCAATACCGGGACCGTGTCGTCGCCGGGAACATCGCGAGCGGCTCGCCGGCGGCGGATCTGGTGCCGCCGCTTCTCGCTCTCGACGCCGAGTTGACGCTGGTGAGTGCGTCGTCCACGCGCACGTTGGCGTTGGACGACTACTACCTCGGCTACAAACAGGATGCGCGGCGGCGGGACGAGCTGATCACCCGGATTTCCTGGCCGCGCCTGCCCGAGAATTCCGTCAACACCTTCTACAAGCTGGCCCGACGCAAGGGCGATGCGATCACCGTCACCGGCGTGGCAGTGACGCTCGGCGGTCGCGGACGGGCGGTGCACGAAGGCGCGGATCGCGCTTGGGGCCGTCGCGCCCATCGTCTTCCGCGCCAAGGAGGCTGAGGCGCTGCTGGAGGGCGAGGCGCTGACGCCGGCGCTGATCGACGAGGCGGCGGCGGCGGCGGTATCCGCGTGCAGCCCCATCGACGACATCCGGGCTTCCGCCGGCTACCGCCGCCACACGGCGGAAGCCCTGACACGGCGCCTGGTTGCCCAAGCGTGGGATCGGCTCGCCCAGGGGAGTAACGCGCATGCCTGACGAACGGACCATCACCCTCCGCATCAACGGCCGCGAGGAGGAAGGGCGCTTCCCCGCCCATCGCACGCTGCTGGAAGCGCTGCGGCAGCTCGGCCACATGGAAGTGAAGTGCGGCTGCGAGAAGGGCGATTGCGGCGCCTGCGCCGTGCTGCTTGACGGCATGGCCGTGGACAGCTGCCTGACCGTGGCCTGGATGGCGGCCGGCAAGGAGGTCACGACCATCTCCGGCCTCGGCGATCTCGATTCGCCCCATCCCTTGCAGCAGGCGTTTGCCGAAACCGGTGCCGCGCAGTGCGGCTACTGCATTCCAGGCATCATCATCGCGGCGAAGGCGATCATCGACGAGAACCCGGAGCCCAGCGAGGACGACATCCGCCTGGGCTTGAGCGGCAATCTCTGCCGCTGCACCGGCTACACCAAGATCTTCGAGGCCATCGCCGACGCAGCCGCCGTGATGCGCGCCGAGGGAGGTGAGCAATGACCCACACCGACATCGACGCAGGCGCGCTGGCCAACGTCCAATACCGGCAGATCGGCAAGCCGCTCACCCGCACCGACGCGCCGGGCAAGGTTACGGGCCGCACGCCCTATGCCGGCGACTACGTGATGCCCAACATGCTGCACATGCGGGTGCTCCGCGCCGACATCGCGAGCGCCCGTCTCGTGCGCCTCGATGTCTCGAAGGCGCGGGCGCTCAAGGGCGTCGCCTGCGTGCTCACCGCCGCCGATCTCGCCGACCGTACGGCGGCCACCGACATCCCCGGCCAGACGGGCCAGAAGAGGCTGGATACGGATCAGCCGGTTCTGGTGAAGGAACGGGTCCGCTATTTCGGCGAGCCCCTCGCGCTTGATTGCTGCCGAAACCCGCGATCTCGCCGACCGGGCGGCGGACCTGATCGAGTTCGAGCTTGAGCCGATCCCTGGCGTCTACGACCCGCTGGAAGCGCTGCAGCCCGGCGCGCCGCTCGTCTACGGCACCGACAACATCGTTGCCGAGCGCAAGATCAAGAAGGGCGATGTCGAGGCGGGCTTCGCCAAGGCCGACCTCATCGTCGAGAACACCTACAAGACACCGTTCCAGGAGCACGCCTTCCTGGAGCCGGAGGTCGGCCTCGCCTGGGTGGATGAGAACGACGTGGTCAACATCCGCGTCTCGACCCAGGTGATCGAGCACTTCCGGCCCGATCGCCGATGCCATCGGCGTGCCGCACAACAAGGTCCGCGTGCGCGGCGCGCTGGTCGGCGGCGGCTTCGGCGGCAAGGAGGACATGACCGTCGAGGTCTATCTGGCGTTGCTCGCCAAGCACACCGGGCGGCCGGTGCGTCTGGAATACTCCCGCGAGGATTCCTTCGTGGGCCACGGCAAGCGCCACCCCTTCATCCTGACCTACCGCACGGGCGTCACGAAGGAGGGCAAGATCACGGCGCTCGACGTGCAGATGATCGCCGATGCCGGGGCCTACGTGTTCCTGAGCCCCTACGTCATCCTCTACGCGCTGGTCGCCGCACCCGGCCCCTACCGCGTCGACAATCTCAATGTCTTCGCCCGGGCCGTGGCGACCAACAACATGTACACCAGCGCCTTCCGAGGCTTCGGCGCGTTGCAGGCCTGCGCGGCCTACGAGCAGCAGATGGACGAGATCGCCGACACGCTCGGCATCGATCGCCTGGAGCTCAGACGGCGGAATTTCCTGAAGACCGGCGAGCCCATGTCCACGGGCTTCGTGCCGCCGAGCGCCATCTGGACCGAGCAGTGCGCGGAGAAAGCCTGGGCCGCGCTCGGCGAGCCCACACCGGCAGAGGGGCCGATACGGACAGGCCGCGGCCTCGCCTGCTATCAGCAGAGCTACGGGCGCCTCACCTTCCTGCACGATACTTCGGAGGCCTGGGTCGGCGTCGAGATGGACGGCACCGTTGTGGTGCGCTCCGGCGTCACCGACATCGGCGCCGGGCAGATTTCGGCGCTGGGCCAGATCGCGGTGGAGGTGCTGGGCGTCACCCTCGACAACGTCGTCATCTACAACAGCGATTCCGCGGTGACCCCGCTCGCCGGCACGACCACGGCGACGCGCGCGCTCTACATGACCGGCAACGCCGCCAAGCAGGCGGCCGAGGGGCTTCGCGCCCGGCTCGCCGAACGCGCGGCACAGGAGTTCGGCGTCGCCCCTCGATGAGATCGACATGGGCTTCAACGAGGTCTTCATCATCGACAAGCCTGAGGCGTCCATGCCGCTCGTCGACCTGGTGCGCATCTGCGCGGCCGAGGGCATCCACCGCTCCGAGCTCGCAATCTTCCGCGCGCCGTTCGGCAAATTTCTCGACCCCGAGACGGGCCAGGGTCAGGCCCATCCCGACTATGCCTACGGCGCGCATGCCGTCGAGGTGTCGGTCGACGTGGAGACCGGCGAAGTCGAAGTGCTGAAGAGCGTCGCCGCCCACGATGTCGGCCAGTGCATCAACCCGGCGGCGGTCGAGGGCCAGATCCAGGGTGGCGCGCAGAACGGCCAGGGATACGCGCTCAGCGAAGAGATGCTTTACGAGGAGGGCCGCCTGGTCACACCGTCGTTCAGCGAGTACCTCATGCCGACGGCGATGGATATGCCGAAGGTCGAGTGCATCATCCTCGAATCCCGCAGCGGCGTGGGGCCCTTCGGCGCAAAGGGCATCGGCGAGCCGGCCATGACTGCCGTCGCACCCGCAATCGCCAACGCCGTCGCCGATGCCATCGGCGTGCGCGTCTTCGAGATGCCGATCACGCCGGAGCGGGTTGTCACGGCGTTGAAGCGGCGCGATGCCCCGCAATGAGAGACGGGGCGCCCTGAGCGATGGCCGATAGCAACGACAAGCCGCTCGGGCGATACATCCGGGTGCTCGAGACGGTGGCCGCCGCGCGAACCGGGCTCACGCTCACGGACATCGCCAAGGAGCTGGAACTGCAACCGGGAACGGCACATCGCCTGATCCGCGGCCTCCTGGACCTCGACCTGTTGCGCAGCGCGCCCGGCACCAAGAGCTACGTGACCGGGCCGCGCCTGCAAACCCTCCTCCACGCGACCATGGACGGCGCAGGCTATGCGGGGCTGGCGAAGTCGGTGCTGGATGGGCTCGTAGCGGAGTTCGGCGAGACCGCGCATCTGGCCCGGCTGAACGGCGACTTCGCCGAATCCGTGCTGATGGAGCAGCCCGTGGGCTCCGACCGCGCCTTCGTGCAGCCGGGCCGGCAGCTCCCGTTGCACGCGGCGGCCTCCGGCAAGGCGATCCTGGCGTTCCAGGACGAGGAGTTCGTCGCGCGCTACCTCTCGCGCCCGCGCACGCGCTACACGGAGAAGACCAGGGTCGGGGAAGCGGAGATCCGCACCGAGCTCGGTCAGATCCGCGCGGACGGCATGGCGGTCTGCGACAACGAGCTCGATGCCGGCGTGCTGAGCTACGGACATCCGATCCGGGTGAGCAGCGGCTATGTCGTCTATTCGGTCGGCATCACCGGCCTCGCGGACCGCTTCCGCCCCATGAAGCGAACCCGGATCAAGCAGAAGTTATCCGAGGCGGCGGCCGACCTCGGCAGGAGGCTCGGATTTACGAGCTGATGGGAGTTCGCGATGGTTGACGCACGCTTGGCAGAGATTGTTCGGAATTGCCGGAACGGTACGGGAAGCAACTGCGGCGGATATCTGGAACCGACTGCCACGGGGCAACCAGGGGCCTATATCTCGACCATCCTGCTATCGACGGGCAGTGTGAACCTTGAACAATTTCCAGGTTACCCATTTCGACGAGGACTTAGACCAGGGCATGGCCAAAATCGTGTCCTACGATCGCGCCGAGTGTAACGATTCCTATATCGGTCAGATCAATATGTTGCAGGCGTCGTCGTTCAGCGGCGTTAACGGAGCGATCTGGGGCTACGACCTGGCAATCGAACCCCGCATCGGGAAGACGTATCCTGTCGGCCGTATCGAGAATATACCCATCTACTCCCTCATTCCCTTACGCGACGCAACCCGGCAGCTTTTCGGGGTCGCCGAAAACCGGCATTTCCCTCCGCAAGAAGGCGCCATGGTCGTTTGCGCCGAAAAGTACCTCACAAGCGCGGTCTCCGACGGAAATTTGTGGATCTGGTGCGCTCTCGGGTTCGCGATTGCGGAAGATCGCGATAATCATGCTTGCTTGTTTATGGAAGACACGGGGTCATTGAGGCTCGGGGAAGACGAAGAACAGACCGTGCGGCACAAGCTCGACGATAGGCTCAACAGGATCGCCTACGCGGCGTATCTGTGCGGCGAGAATCAGGGCGCACGCTACAAGAAGATCTACATCGGCTGGAAGGCGTCCTACATACCGAAGAATCACGTGGGTTGTGCACTCGCCTGCGCCCCATACGTGACGCTTCCGTCCGGCGCGTTCAAGAACATTACTCCGGAGACCGACATCCTCGAGCTTTCAACCGAGGACTGGCTATCCAGAATGGGCTTTTCCGAGGTGGACGAGCCCGACTATGCGCTCAAGACCCTGACCGGGCCGAATATCCCTCTCCAATAAACGCGGATTCACGGGCCTAGGGAGAGATATCGTGATCGACGAATTGGATCGCCGGCCGGCGTCCGGCCGGTCTCCTCGCTGACCGGGAGAGGCGCGTTGGTCGACGAGAGCATAGCGATCGAGGTACGCGATGCCGTCAAACGATTCGGCTCGGTGACCGCGCTCGCCGGGGTGAGTCTGACGATCCGGGACAACGAGTTTTTCACGCTGCTCGGGCCTTCGGGCTGCGGCAAGACCACCCTGCTTCGCCTGATCGCAGGCTTCGAGGACATCACCGAGGGGACCATTCTCCTCTACGGCGAGGAACTCGGCGACCTCCCCCCCAACAAACGCCCGATCAACACCGTCTTCCAGCACTACGCGCTCTTTCCCCACATGACGGTGGCGGAGAACGTGGCCTTCGGCATGCGGAGGCTCGGCTGGAGCAAAGCCGATATCGAGGACCAGACCGCCCGCATCCTGGACCTCGTGAAGCTGGGCGACCTCGCAGCCCGCAGACCGTCTCAGCTCTCCGGCGGCCAACAGCAGCGGGTGGCACTGGCGCGGGCGATGGCACCTGGGCCCCGGGTGCTTCTGCTCGACGAGCCGCTGTCAGCGCTCGATTTGAAGCTGCGGCAGGCGATGCGCATCGAGCTGAAGCAGATCCAGAAGGATACCGGCATCACCTTCGTCTTCGTCACCCACGACCAGGAGGAAGCACTGACGATGTCGGACCGCATCGCCGTGATGTCGGCGGGCGAGATCCGGCAGGTGGGGACGCCGCACGAAATCTATGAGGCGCCCGTCGATCGCTTCGTGGCCAACTTCATCGGCGAGACCAACGTCCTCGACGTGACCGTGCAGCGGGGGCCGGACGGCGCCTACACGTGCCGCCTGAGCAACGGCGCGGTGTTTCCGTGCCAAGCCGCCGGCACTCCGCCGGAGGACGGGGCCACCGCGCATGTGCTGATCCGGCCCGAGCGTCTGTCTTTTGTTGCTGCAGAACAGGTTGATCGCGGCCTCACGGGCGTGATCAACCAGACCGTCTATCTCGGCACCGACATCCAGTACGGCGTCCGGCTCGACGGAGGGCCTGACGTGATGGTCCGCGCGCAAAATGCCGGTGAGGACGTGAGGCCTTACCAGTCCGGCGACCGGGTGGGCCTCACCATCGCCCCCGGCGCCGCCCGGCTGCTGGTGGACTGATGACCGCCGAGCTCAGCAGCACCAGGGCAGTCTCCCGCACCTTCGCGCCGGTGCGCACCGGGTTGCTGATCCCGACCTGGGTGGTGATCGGTTTCTTCCTCCTGGCCCCGGTGCTGATGATGCTCGTTTACTCCTTCCTGACGAAGGAGTTCCGGGGCGGGGTGATCTGGGAGTTCTCGCTCGCGGCTTACGACCAATTCATCTTCGACCGCGGCCTCTTCGGCGACGATCCACCGAAGATCGAGTGGACCTACATCGTCATCTTCGCACGCTCGATCATCCAGGCCGCCGTCGCCACGTTGCTCTGCCTCATCATCGGCTTCCCGACCGCGTATTTCATCGCCACCCGGTCGCCGCGACCCGCTCGATCTGGCTCTTCCTGGTCACGGTGCCCTATTGGGTGAACCTGCTCATCCGCACCGTCTCGATGAAGTTTCTCATCCGGGACAACGGGCCGCTCAACGAAGCCCTGATGGGTCTCGGGGTCATCAACGAGCCGATCGCGCTCATCAACACCGATTTCGCCGTGCAGCTCGGTCTGCTTCTACTCGTATCTGCCCTTCATGGTGCTGCCCATCTATGCGTCGGTGGAGCGCTACGACTTCTCGCTTTCCGAAGCGGCGGCCGACCTCTACGCCGGGCGCTGGACGATCCTCCGCCGGGTCATTCTGCCGATCGTGCGGCCCGGGCATCGTGGCGGGTGCATCCTGGTCTTCGTGCCGAGCCTCGGCGCCTTCCTCGCGCCCGATCTTCTCGGCGGCGCCAAGAACTTCCTGATCGGCTCCCTGATCGAGGAGCAGTTCAAGGGCAACGCCGGCAACTTGGCCCTTCGGCGCGGCCGCGTCGATGATTCTCCTCACTCTCGTGCTGATCGTGCTCTTGATCTATGCGCGCCGGCAGGCGCGGCGCAGCGCGAAGCAGGGCTGAGATGCGGCGCAGCCTCAATATCAGGCGCTACCCCGGCTTCCTGCCGGTGACGATCCTCTGCCTGGTGGTGCTCTACGCGCCCCTCCTGGTGGTGATGGTCTACAGCTTCAACGATTCGCTCTCCATCACCCGCTGGGGCGGGTTCAGCTTCCGCTGGTACATGGACGTCTTTACCGGGCCGGAATCGGCGAAATTCAAGGACGCCGCGTGGAACTCGCTGACCATCGCGCTGTCCGCCGCCGTTGTCAGCACCACCATCGCCACAGCCGCCGCGGTCGCGATGGTGCGCGGCGGCGCCTTTCGCGGCAAATCGTTGAATTTTGCGTTGATCAGCATGCCGATCATGGTGCCCGAAATCGTCACCGCCGTGGCGACCCTTATCTTCTTCAGCGCCATCGGATTCGTGCTCGGCTATCTCTCCATTCTCGTGGCCCATATCGTCTTCTGTATTCCGTTCGCCTACCTGCCCATCGCGGCTCGGCTGCAGGGCATCGACGGCAGTTACGAGGAAGCCGCTCAGGATCTATACGCCAGCCGGTTCCAGGCATTTCTTCGCGTTCTCATGCCCTTGATGGCGCCCGGAATCCTCGCTGGTTTTCTGTTGGCATTCATCATCTCTCTCGACGATTTCATTATCACGAACTTCATCAAGGGCGCTGGCATCGAAACCTGCCCACGGCGATATTCGGGGCCGTGAAGCAGGGGATCAAGCCCAACATCATGGCGCTCAGCACACTCATGCTCTCCGTCTCGATACTCATCGTCACGCTTTCTTATCTCATCGGTCGTTACGGTCGTTATGGAACGAAGGCGGAGGCATCGGAATCTGGTTAACTGGCTCAACCAAGGAGGTCAACATGCGATACATGCTCAAAGCAGGAATGGTAGCATAGCACTGATCTTTGCCGCGAGTGCGGCCCAAGCTCAGGAGAAGATCTCGATTTACCACTGGTTCGAGTACATTCCGCAGGAGCTGCTCGACAAGTTCGCTGCCGAAACGGGGATCGAGGTGACCATGGACACCTTCGATTCCAACGAGGCCATGCTCGCCACGCTCAAGGCCGGCAAGCTCGGCTCCTACGACGTGGCGGTGCCGGGCGATTATATGGTCCAGATCATGGCGGGCGAAGGCATGCTCGACACACATCGCCGAGGGCGAGCTCGCCAACTTCGCCAACATCGAGCCGCAATGGGTGGACGTGCCCTTCGATCCGGGCCGCATGCACTCGATCCCCTATCAGTGGGGCTCGACCAGCTTCTCGGTGAACCGGGACGTCTATGCGGGCGACATCAACGACACCAGCATCATCTTCGACCCGCCGGAGGAGGTGAAGGGCAAGATCAACGTCCTGGACTCCCAGGGCGAAGTCATGTTGCTGGCATCCCTCCACCTCGGCATTCCGCAATGCTCGACCGATCGCGAGCAGCTCAGGCGCTCGACGCGCTCTTGCAGTCCGCCAAGCCGCACTGGGCCTCCTTCGGCTCCGACATCGCCAAGGACGTGCTCGTCTCCGGCGATGCCGCGGTGGGGATGATCTGGAACGGGTTCTCCGCCAAGGCGCGCGCGGAGGGCGCCAACATCGAGTACGCCTATCCGCGTCAGGGCTTCGTCGTCTGGATGGACAATGTCGTGCTCCTGAAGGACGCAGCGAACCGGGCGAGCGCGATCAAGTTCATGGATTTCCTGCATGGAGGCCGGAGATTCGCGCGGTCTACCACTACGCGCGCTATGCGGCGGGCGGTCGAGGGCGTCGCGCGCCGCTATCTGGATCCGGAGCTGCTTGCCTCGCCGCGCATCCGTTCCGCGGCCTGCCATGCAGCCCGCCGGCACCTTCGTCGCGGTGTGCGACCAGGCGACGCAGGAGGTCTACGACACCATGTGGACCCGCCTGAAGAAGTAGACGTCCGTTTCCTAATGCCGGGCGGCGCGCCTCAACGGGGCGCGCCGCTCCGGCTCAACCTGCCGCGACCAGTCGGGTGATCCCATGAGCGTGGAGTCTCGTTACGACATCCTGCTTCAACCCATCGCGATCGGGCCGGTCACCGCCCGGAACCGCTTCTACCAGGTGCCCCACTGCACCGGCATGGGCTATCGCGACCCGACCGCGCTCGCCCACATGCGGGGCGTCAAGGCCGAGGGGCTTGTGGCCTGTCGCTGTACACAGAGCAAGATGTCTCGAGTCCTTCGAGCAGTTGTTTTCTTCTTCTGGCGAAGTTCCACTCTTATACGTAGGACCTCAGAGATCACGCCCTTCATCGAGCTCCGCCTCTGGGACGATCGGGACATCCCGATGCTCGCCAGGATGGCGGACCACATCCACGCGCACGGCGCGCTCGCCGGGTTGGAGCTTTGCTATAACGCCGCATCAGGCCCCAACGTCTATTCGCGCGCAAGTGCCTGATGGTCGCCGTAGCGGGCGCAGCCTAATGGTGAAAAACCAGCTGCGCTGCTACACTACGAACCCCTCCCAGGGCGCGCATCACATGGACAAGGAGGACATCCGCAACGTCCGCCGCTGGCACAAGGCGGCGGCGCTTCGCGCCCGGCGAGCGGGTTACGACCTGATCTATGTGTATGCCGGCCACGGGCTGAGCTTCCTGCATCACTTCCTCTCCAGGGAGTTCAATCACCGCACCGACGAATACGGCGGCTCGCTCGAGAACCGCGTGCGGGCTCCTCAAGGAGCTCCTGATCGACACCAAGGAGGCGGTGGGCGACAGCTGCGCCGTTCCCTGTCGCCTCTCGATGGACGAGCTTCGCGGCGCGGACGGGCTGGAGAAGGCCGAGACCGAGGACATGATCGGGCTCGTCGCGGAGATTCCGGACCTCTGGGACGTCTGCCTCGCCGGCTGGGAGAACGACAGCCAGTCGTCCCGCTTCGGCGAGGAGGGAGGGCAGGAACCCTTCATCGAAGGCGTCAAGAAGCTCACCACGAAGCCGGTCGTTGGCGTCGGCCGCTATACGTCGCCGGACCGCATGGTCTCCATCGTCAAGAAGGGCATCGTCGATCTGATCGGCTGCGCGCGGCCCTCCATCGCCGACCCCTTCCTCCCGCGAAAGGTGGCGGAAGGGCGCCTCGAGGACATCCGCGAGTGCATCGGCTGCAACATCTGCGTCTCGGGCGATTTCACCATGTCGCCCATCCGCTGCACCCAGAACCCGACCATGGGCGAGGAATGGCGCCGGGGCTGGCACCCCGAGTTCATCCGGCCGAAGGAAAGCGAGAAGCCCGTCCTGATCGTGGGCGCCGGCCCCGCCGGCCTCGAAGCCGCGCAGGCGCTCGGCAAGCGCGGCTACGACGTAACCCTGGCCGAGCAAAGCAGAGAGCTGGGCGGGCGGGTCGCCCGCGAATGTCGCCTGCCGGGCCTCGCCGCCTGGGGCCGGGTCCGGGACTACCGCGCCGAGCAGCTTCGCAAGCTTCCCAACGTCGCCCTCTACCTGGAATCCCAACTCGATGCGGAGACCGTTCTCGAATTCGGCTGCCCCCGCGTCGTGATCGCCACCGGCGCGCGCTGGCGCAGCGACGGGGGTCGGCCACCACTGGACCGCGCCCCTGCCCATCGAGGACGGATCGCAGGTCCTCACCCCCGACGACCTCATGGAGGGTCGCTTGCCCGAGGGAACGCGCGTCGTCGTCTGGGACGACGATCACTACTACATGGGCGGCGTGCTGGCCGAGCTCCTGGCCGACAAAGGCTTCACCGTCACATACATGACGCCCGCGTCGGAGGCCTGCACCTGGAGCCGCAACACCATGGAGCAGCCTTTCGTCCAGGCGCGCATGCTCGAGAAAGGAATAGCCATCGAGGCGTTCCGGACCCTGACCGTATTTCCCCGGGCACCGTCGCGATGTCATGCGTCCATACCGGCCGGGTCGAGGAGCTGGAGGCCGATGCGGTGGTTCTCGTCACCAGCCGAACACCGTCGGGCGAGATCGCGGCCGATCTATTGCGGCAACAGGACCGCTGGCCGGACGCCGGTACTCGAAGCCGTGGAGCCATCGGCGACGCGCTCGCGCCGGCGACCATCGCCCATGCCGTCTACGCCGGGCGAGCGCTACGCCGAAGGCCTCGACGGCGCGGCCGTTCCGATGGACGAAGTGCCCTTCAAGCGCGAGATCGCAGAGTTGATCGACTGATTCTATTGGCAGTGAGCAGCGACCGATGGGTTAGACGTCGCTTCTGAACGGCATTCCCCCGGGCACTAGCCAATCTTTGTCGATCTGCCCTACGGCCGCACTGGAAAACTGGTCGGCCCCTTCAGATGCGGCAGCAGGGGTTGGACCCGGGCGATCCAGTCGCAGAGCACGGGGCGGGTCTCGCGCGGGTCGATGAGCTCGTGGATCGAGAAGCTCTCGGCGCGGGGCACCGGCGACTGGCGGCGAGCATGGCTTCTTCGAGGCGCTCGCGCTCGGCGGCGGGATCGTCGGCCCTCGCGATCTGGCGGCCGAAGGCCACCGCCACGCCGCCCTCGACCGGTAGCGCCCCCGTCTCGGCCGAGGGCCAGGCGACGACGAAGCCGTCCGGGCCGAAATGCGCGGCGACGGCGACACCGTGCGCCTTGCGCACGATCACCGACGCCCAGGGCACCACGGAGCTCGCCGCTGCGAGCACGGCGGCGGCGCCGAAGCGGATCGTGCCGGCCTTCTCCGCCTCCGTCCCGATCATGAAGCCGGGCTCGTCCACCAGGCTCACAATCGGCAGGTGGAACGTGTCGCAGAGCTCGATGAAGCGGCGCGTCTTCTGCGAGCCCGCTGCGGTCATGGCGCCGCCAGGGTGCCAGCAGTCGTTGGCGAGCACGCCGACGGGCTGGCCGGAGAGCCGGGCGAGGCCGGTGATCGTGCCTTGCCCATAGAGCCGGCCGATCTCGAAGAACGAGCCCTCGTCCAGCACCAGCGCGATCACGCGCCGCATGTCGTAGAGCTTGCGCCGGTTGCGCGGCACGATCCCGATCAGCGCCTCGGCACGCCGGTCCGCCGGGTCGTCGGCCGACGTGCAGGGGGGAAGCTCCCAGACGTTGGGCGGCAGATAACTCAGGAACCGGCGGATCTCGGCGAAGGCCGCCGGCTCATCCGCGACCAGATTGTCGATGACGCCGTTCCTCGCGTGCACCGCCGGGCCGCCGAGCGCCTCCTTGCTCGGGCGCCGCCCGAGCGCGCGCTCGACCACGGCGGGGCCCGCGATCAAGATTTGCGAGTTCTCGGGTCATCACCGAGAAGTGCGAGGCCACCAGGCGCGCGGCGGGAAGGCCCGCGACCGCACCGAGCCCCGCCGAGGCGACGGGCACGGTTGCCATCGCCTGGGCCACGGACTTGAAGCGTGGCGGGGCGTTGACCGGCGTGCCCACCGTCTTCGAACCGGTCCCGGCGACGCTGCCGCCTGCGCCTTGGTGGAGCCGCACCAGGGGCACACGGTAGGTGCAGGCAAGCTCCTCCGCGTAGACGCTCTTGCGCAGGCCCGCCTCGTTCGGCGAGCCGCCGCCGAGCGTGAAATCCTCGCCGCCGATGACGCAGCGGCGCCCGTCGATCGCGCCGAAGCCGAGCACGAAGTTGGCCGGCTTGAAGTCGGTGAGCCGCCCGTCGCCATCGCGGGTCGCATTGCCGGAGGCGCCGCCCAGCTCCTGAAAGGAGCCGTCATCGAGCATGACGTCGATCCGTTCGCGGATCGTGAGAAGCCCCCTGGCGTGCTGGCGGGCGACGCCCTCCTCCCCGCCCTGCGCCTGCGCGAGCGCCCGCTTGCGCGCGAGTTCCTCGACCTCCCTCTCCCAGCTCATTGGGGGCTCATGGAGGCTCAGGCGACGACGCCGGCGTCGCGCAACGCGGCGATCTCAGTAGCGGAGAGCCCGGCCTCGGCAAGCAGCTCCTCCGTGTGCTCGCCGAGGAGCGGTGCGCCCCGCCGGATCGAGCTGGGCGTGGCCTCGAAGCGCGTCGCCGGCCGCGCCTGGCGCAGCCTTCCGGCGATGGGATGATCGACTTCGACGAGCGTGCCGGCGGCGGCAACCTGCGGGTGCTCGACGAGCGCGCTCCGGGTCAATACCGGCGCGCAGGGCACGCCCTCGGCTTCCAGGCGCTCCATCCACTCGTCGGTGGTCCGTGTGCGCAGCACCTCCTGGGTGAGCGAGAGGCGGTCGTCGATATTCTCGTCACGGAGTGCCGGCGTCTTGAAGCGCGCGTCCTCGAGCCACTCCGGCCGCTCGAGCGCACGCGTGAGGCCGACCCATTCGCCGTCGCTCATCACCGCGACGCTCATGTGGCCGTCCTTCGTCTCGTAGATAAGGTCGATGAAGCTCGCCGCCGTTGCTCCGTCGCCGCCTGCTCGAGGAAGGTCTGGCCGCCCATGTCCGATGCCCAGAGGAACGAGACGACGGCATCCAGCATCGAAAGGCGCACGTGTTGGCCTTGGCCCGTGCGCTCGCGTGCGAGCAGCGCGGCGGTGACGGCCTGTGCTGCGGTCACGCCGGTAAGCTTATCGGGCAATATCGTGCGGACGAGACGGGGGCGCACATCGTCCGAACCGCCCTGGACCGACGCCAGGCCAGAGGCCGCCTGGATGATCGGATCGTAGACCCGCTTGTGCGCGTAGGGCCCGTCTCGCCGAAGCCATTGATCGAGACGTAGACGATCCCGGGGTTGACCGCCCGGATGTCGGGCTCGCCGACCCCCAGTCGCTCGACCACGCCCGGCCGGAAATTCTGGATGAAGACGTCGGCATGCGCGGCAAGGCTGATCACCGCGTCGCGCCCGCGCGGATCCTTCAGATTGACGGCAATCGAGCGCTTGTTGCGGTTGACGTTCAGAAAGCCCGAGGAGAGTCCGTTGGAGCGGTTGCTGCCCGTCCGCGTGTGATCGCCCTGGCCTATCGCTTCCACCTTGATCACGTCGGCGCCCTGGTCGCCCAGCATCATGGTGGCCAAGGGGCCCGAAACCATCGATGTGAGGTCGATGACGCGGTAACCGTCGAGCGGTCCTGGCACTGGTTCTCTCCTCGCTCTGCCGAATGGCGCGATCGTATCCGGGGTGCGGCGATTTCGGAACCGGCCTGCCACCGATGAGGACCGGCCACTCATTCATTGACTCATTCCCGCCGCGCTCCCATGTGCATGCTTCAAACCCCGAATGTCGGTGGGCGGATCAGCGCCCGCGATCGCCGCCACCGAATGAGCGCCGCCTCATGCCCCGAGACTACGTGACGAAGATACTGAAAGCGCGCGTCTACGACGTGGCGCGCGAGACACCGCTTGAGCTTGCGCCGAAACTCTCCTCCCGGCTCGGCAGCGAGGTATGGCTCAAGCGCGAGGACCTTCAGCCGGTCTTCTCGTTCAAGCTGCGCGGCGCCTACAACAAGCTCGCGTCGCTCACGCCTGAGGAACGCGCGCGGGGGGTCATCGCGTCGTCGGCCGGCAATCATGCGCAGGGCGTGGCGCTTGCGCGCGCACGGCTCGGCGCTCGCGCGCTCATCGTCATGCCGGAGACGGCGCCCCGCATCAAGGTGGACGCGGTCGAGCGGCTGGGCGCCGAGGTGCTCCTCGCGGGCGATACGTACTGACGGCGCGAGAGAGCGGGCGGAGGCCCTCGCCGCCGAGCGCGGGATGGTCCTTATCCCCCCCTATGACGACGAGCACGTCATCGCAGGCCAGGGCACGGTGGCGATGGAGATCGTGCGCCAGCAGGGCGAGGCCTTCGACGCGATCTTCGTGAGCGTGGGCGGCGGCGGGCCTCATCGCCGGCATCGCCGCTTACATCAAGGCGCTGTGGCCGAGACGCGCATCATCGGTGTCGAGCCACAGGACGCGCCGACCCTGCACGCAGCGCTCGCGGCGGGCGAGAGGGTCGTCCTGGAGCAGGTCGGCACCTTTGCCGACGGCGTGGCGGTGAAGCAGATCGGGGCCGAGCCCTTCCGCATCGCACGCGAATGCATCGATGAGGTGGTGCTCGTCTCGACCGACGAAATCTGCGCGGCGATCAAGGACATCTTCGAGGACACCCGGGCGATCGCCGAGCCCGCAGGCGCACTCGCGGTCGCAGGGCTCAAGCGCTACGTCGAGCGGGAAGGCATAGCGGATGGCCGGCGCTTTGCCGCCATCGTGAGCGGCGCGAACGTCAACTTCGACCGCCTCCGCCATATCGCCCAGCGGGCCCAGCTTGGCGAGCAACGGGAGATCCTGCTCGCGGTCACCATCCCCGAGCGCCCCGGCAGCCTGCTCCGGTTCTGCGAGCTTATCGGCAAGCGCTCGATCACCGAGTTCAACTATCGCTATGCCGACGACGCGGACGCGCACATCTTCGTGGGCGTGGAGATCAGCGGTACCGGGGCAGACGGGCAGTCCCTCGTGGATTCGCTGGAGCGCGACGGCTATCCGGTGCTCGACCTGACCGACAACGAGATGGCCAAGCTCCACGTGCGCTACATGGTGGGCGGCCATGCGCCGGGGGAGCTCGACGAAGTCCTCTATCGCTTCGACTTTCCGGAGCGTCCGGGCGCCCTGATGCACTTCCTCACCCAGATGGGACGCAAGCCCTGGAACATCAGCATGTTCCACTACCGCAACCACGGCTCGGACTACGGCCGGGTGCTGATCGGCCTGCAGGTACCGCAGGACGAACGCGGGAAATTCCGGTTGTTTCTCGAGCAGGTGGGCTACGACTACCGCGAGGAGACCGCCAATCCCGCGTACCGCCTGTTCCTGCGGTGAGGGGAGCGTAGGAGCGACTGCAGGCGCCGCCCGAGCGCGGCGACCCGCGCCGTGCTACGCAGAGGCGTCGCGAATTGCGCGCCAGACGCGCTCGGCCGTGAACGGCATCTCGACATGGCGGACGCCCAGGTGCCAGAGCGCATCGAGAATGGCGTTGCCGATCGCGGCCGGCGGCCCGCTGGTGCCGAGCTCGCCCACGCCCTTGACCCCGAGCGGGTTGGTCTCGGTCAGCGTCACGTGGCTGTCGAGCGCGAAGTCGGGCAGATCGTCGGCGCGCGGCAGCGCGTAGTCCATGAACGAGCCGGAGAGAAGCTGGCCCGACTCCGGGTCGTAGCGCACGTGCTCCAGCAGCGCCTGGCCGATGCCCTGGGCAGCGGCCCCGTGGCGCTGGCCGTCGACCACCAGCGGGTTGATCACCAGCCCCGCATCCTCCACCGAGTAGTAGCCCGTGAGCCGCACCGCGCCGGTCTCGCGATCGACCGTGACGGTCGCGACATGGGTGCCGTAGGGATAGTTGAAGTCGTCCGGGTCGAAGAACGCCGCCTCCTCGAGCCCGAGCTCGAAGCCCTCGGGATAGTCGGCGCCGCGGTAGGCCATGTCGGCGATCTGCACGAACGTCATCCGCCGGTCGGTGCCGCGCACGGCGTAGGCGCCGGCCCCGAAATCGATATCGTCGACGGCGCATTCCATGAGATGGGCCGCGAGACGCCGGCCCTTCTCGATGATGCGGTCCGACGCCACGGCAAGGGCAGAGCCCACGACCGTGATCGAGCGCGAGGCCCAGGTGCCGAGGCCGTGGGGAATCCGGTCCGTGTCGCCCTCCACGACATCAATGTCTTCGAGCGCGCAGCCGAAGCGGTCGGCGACGATCTGCGCATACGTCGTGGCGTGGGACTGGCCGTGGCTGTGGCTGCCGCAGAGCACGGTGATCTTGCCGCTGGGGTGGACGCGCACGGTGGCGACGTCCCAGAACCCCATGCGGCTGCCTAGGGCGGCCGCGAGGCGGCTCGGCCCGGCACCGCCGGAGCGAACGAAGGCCGCCATGCCGATCCCCATCAGCACGCCGTCTTCCTGGAGCCGCGTCTGCTCGGCCCGGAGCGCGTCGAGACCGGCGAGCGCACGGGCCTTGTCGAGAACGCCGGAAAGTCGCCGACATCGTAGGTGACGCCGGTCGCACTGCCATAGGGCATGTCGGCAGCGGGCACGAGGTTGTGGGCGCGCGCCTCGACCGAGTCGCAAGCCCGCTCACGCGCGCCATTCTCGATCAGGCGCTCGATGACGTAGGTGATCTCGGGATTGCCGGCGCCGCGGTAGGCATCGACCGGTGTGGTGTTGGTGTAGACGCCGAGCACCCGGCAATGGAGCGCGGGGATCGCATACTGGCCTGAGAACATGGTGACGCAGAACAGCGAGGGGATGCACGCAGCGAACTGGCTCTGATAGGCGCCGAGGTTGGCGATGATCTCCGCCTCGATGGCGACGATACGCCCATCCTCGTCGAAGGCCATGCGCGCCTCGGTAACGTGGTCGCGCGCGTGGATGTCCACCGTCAGGGTCTCGGCACGGGTCGCGGTCCAGCGCACCGGCCGGCCCACCAGCCGCGCGGCCCAGGGGAGGCTCGCCTCCTCCGGATAGTGATAGGTCTTCTGGCCGAAGCCGCCGCCCACGTCGGCGCGACCACCCTGATCGATTGCTCGGGCGCACGCAGCGTGTCGCGCGAGAGCCACTGGCGGACGAGGTGCGGGTTCTGGGTGGTGGACCAGAGCGTGTAGCGCTCGCTGCCGCGATCGTACGCGCCGATCGCCGCGCGCGGCTCTATGGCGCTCGGCGCGAGGCGATTGTTGACGAGCTTGAGCGCTGTGACATGGGCGGCGGCGGCGAAGGCGGCCTTGACCGCCTCGGCGTCGCCGAGCCGCCAATCGTAGGAGACGTTGCTCCCGAATTCCTCGTGCACCAGCGGCGCGCCTGCCAGGGCGGCGGCGGCGAGGTCCGTCACCGAGGCGAGCGGCTCCCACGCGACATCGACCGCGGCGGCAGCGTCGGCGGCCGCGTGCGGGTCTTCGGCCACGACGAGCGCAACCGTATCGCCCACGTGGCGCGCCTCATCCGTGGCGAAGACCGGCCTGCGGGCGAGCGCCATCGGCGTGCCGTCGTGGGAGGTGATGTCCCACAGCACGTCGGTATCGCCGCCGCCATCCCGGCGCCAGTCCTCCCCGGTGAGCACGGCCAGCACGCCTGGCATGGAGCGCGCGCGCTCGGTGGCAATCGCCCCGATGCGGGCATGGGCGTGCGGACTGCGCACGAAGGCGGCGTGTGCCTCCCCAGGAAGCCGGATATCGTCCACGAACCGACCTCGGCCAGTCAGAAACCGATCGTCTTCCAGGCGCGTATGCGCCGTGCCGACATGCCCCATGCTGGCTCCCCTCTTCACTTCGGCCGAAGCCGGCCGATTTCGTTGCAGGCTAGTGAGCAGGCGCGCGGGCGTCCACCCTCGGCGCCGGCCGCGTGCTATGGTGGGATCAGCGTAACGGCAAACCGTGGAGACCGAGGATGCTGAATCCGGAGACCGACGCTCTCGCATCGCAGTCTCGACCGTGTGCTGAGCGAGCATGTGGCGAAGGGCGTGATCGGCGCCTCGCTCGCCCTCATCCGGCCGGGCGGGGAGGTTCTGACCCTCGCAGCCGGCTGCGCCGACCGCACGACGGGGCGCCGCTCACCCCGGATCATCTGTTCAAGACCGCCAGCACCAGGAAGACCTGGACCGCGGTCGCCGTGCTCGCACTGGTGAGCGAAGGGCGTATCGACCTCGACCAGACCATCGAGGGGTGGTTCCCCCACCTGCCGCGGGCGGACGAGATTCGCGTGCGGCATCTGCTCAGCCACCGGAGCGGCCTGCCCGAATACGAGTCCTTCATGCCCAAGGGCTCGGCGGACGACTGGACGCCGGAGCGGATCGTCGAGTTCGCGCTCGCCAACGGCACGCAGATCGCGCCCGGCGAGGCCTTCGTCTATTCCAACCCCGGCTACGTGCTGGCGGGCGAGATCGTCGCCAGCGAGCGGGGCGAGCCCCTCTCCCGCTGGCTCAGGCGCGAAGTCTTCGAGCCGTGCGGGATGGCCGAGACCTGGAGCGGCGGGGACGAAGACTTTCCGCGGGACCGCCTGGCGCGCGCCTACGTCTTCGATTCAGCCGGCCGGGTGCCCCGCCGGAGGATTCGTCGGACTGGTTCCCGCTTTCCGGCATCGGGGCTGCGGGCGATCTCGTCACGACTCCCCGCGACCTCGCGCGCGGGCTTCCACGCACTCTTCACCGGGCAGGTGCTGGATCCCGCCGCCCTCGCCATGCTGCAGACGCCGCTTCTGCCTGCCGGGTTCCCTGGCACCAGCATCACCCACTGCGCGCACGGCGTCCTGGTCTCGCGCTTCGGCGACCTCACGATCGTCGGTCATCTTGGCCAGTTGCGCGGGCACGTGACCATGGCCGGCCATCACGAGGCGAGCGGCATCACCGCCGTGCTCAGCCAGAACTCGTGCTCGAGCGACCTGGAGGCGTTCGGCGCGGCCGGCATCCACCCGGCGTATGCCGAGGTCTTCCGCCTGGCCGGCGCGTGATCCCGCGCTGAACGCAAGCCGGCGCCCCTGAGCGCGCGAGCGCGCCCAGGCGCGCCGGCGTTAGGTCGGAAGGAGCGCGCTCTAGTCGAGCGAGTCGAGCGCCTTCTGGAAACGCCCGGCGTGGGACTTCTCGGCCTTCGCCAGGGTCTCGAACCAGTCGGCGATCTCGTCGAAGCCCTCGTCGCGCGCGGTGCGCGCCATGCCGGGATACATGTCGGTGTATTCGTGGGTCTCGCCGGCCACCGCCGCCACCAGATTGTCGCTCGTGATCCCGATCGGCTTGCCGGTGGCGGGATCGCCGGTCTCGACGAGGAAGTCGAGATGGCCGTGGGCGTGGCCGGTCTCGCCCTCGGCGGTCGAGCGGAAGAGCGCCGAAACGTCGTTATGACCCTCTACATCGGCCTTGCGGGCGAAGTAGAGATAGCGCCGGTTGGCTTGTGACTCGCCGGCGAAGGCGTCCTTGAGGTTCTGCTCGGTCTTGCTGCCACCCAATGCAGGCATGGTCTTTTTCCCCCTGACTTTACGGTTAGAGACGTGTGGCCGCCGCACTGCGGGATGCGAGCACGGCCGGTGCATTCGCCGCTCTATATGACGCAGCGCACCGCCGCCGTCAACGGATTGGAATCATTCCAGGGTGCGTGCGTCGCCCGGCGCCGCCGCGCCGTCCTCCGCCCCCCTGCCGGTCACGCGAATGATGATGTCGATCCGCGAGACCGTGGTCCCCGGCGGCGCCGGCGGCAGGACGCTCACCGACACGCGATCGCCCGGCACATCGACCAGGCGGCCGGTCTCCTCCAGGAAGAAATGCTGGTGATGCGCGGTGTTGGTGTCGAAGAAGGAGGGCCCTGCGTCCACCACCAGCTCGCGCAAGAGGCCGGCCTTCGTGAACTGATGAAGGGTGTTGTAGACCGTGGCGAGGGAGACCCCCGCCTCCTCCCTTAGCACCTCTGCATGAAGCTCCGCGGCCGTGACGTGACGGTGCGGCCCGCTGAAGAGTCGGCGGGCGAGGACGATGCGCTGGCGCGTAGGCCGCAGGCCGGCTTCGCGCAGGCGCGCCCGTGCGTCGCTGTCAGGCGATGTCGTCATTTCGAGACCGAGCCTCCGATACCACGCCTCAATACCACAAATTCGCGTGCGTTGCGCTGCCGGTCGCGGATTCGTGAGTGTGCATGTCGTAAGTGCCGGGCCACGCGGGATAGGTTAACATCGATGGGTCGGATCGGGAGGGTCGTCGCCCCGCCGGCAGCGGGTCGGCAAGACGGCCGGCCCGGACCCCGAGGAGGATGCGCCGTGTCGAGTGAATTCGTTGCCACCGCCTGCCCCCACGACTGCCCGTCGACCTGCGCGCTCGAGGTCGAGCTGCTCGCGCCGGACAGGATCGGCGCCGTCAGAGGGGCGCGGGAGAACGACTACACCTCGGGCGTGATCTGCGCCAAGGTCGCGCGCTATGCCGAGCGCGTGCACCACCCGGGGCGCCTCGCGGAGCCGCTGCAACGCACCGGCGAGAAGGGCGCCGGCGAATTTCGCCCCATCGGCTGGGACGATGCGCTCGACCTGATCGCCGATTCCTTCGTCCGCGCCACGGAGACGCACGGCCGCGAGGCGGTCTGGCCCTACTACTACGCCGGCACCATGGGACTGGTGCAGCGCGACGGGATCAACCGCCTGCGCCATGTCATGGGCTACTCGCGGCAGGACGAGACCATCTGCTCGCGCCTTTCCAGCGACGGCTGGTGGGCCGGTGTCGGCACTTATGTGGGCAGCGATCCGCGCGAGATGGCGAAGGCGGACCTGATCGTCGTCTGGGGCTGCAATCCGGCGTCGACCCAGGTCAACGTCATGACCCACATCGCCAAGGCGCGGAAGACGCGGGGCGCGGCGCTCGTGGTCGTGGACCCCTACGAGACGCGGACCGCCAGGGTCGCCGACCATCACGTGGCGCTCCGGCCCGGCACGGACGGCGCGCTCGCCTGCGGCATCATGCACGTGCTCTTCGCCGAGGACTTCGCCGACCGCGCCTACCTCGCCCGCTATACGGACCATCCGGACGAACTCGAAGCCCACCTCGCGAGCCGGGGGCCCGAGTGGGCGGCGGCGATCACGGGGATCCCGGCCGCCGAGATCACCGCGCTCGCCCGCATGATCGGCCGCATCAAGCGCACCTATATCCGCCTCGGCTACGGCTTCACCCGCTCGCGCAACGGCGCAGCCAACATGCACGCCGCCACCTGCATCGCGGCGGTCACCGGCGCCTGGCAATACGAGGGCGGCGGCGCGATGCACACCAACAAGAGCGTCTACGGCGTCGACGCCACCCTGATCGAGGGGCTCGATGCGAAGGACCGCTCGGTGCGGCTGCTCGACATGTCGCGCATCGGCCCGATCCTGACCGGCGATCCGGGCGACCTTGGGGACGGCCCGCCTGTCACCGCCATCGTCATGCAGAACGTCAATCCGGCGGCGGTCGCGCCGGAATCGGTCAAGGTACGCGAGGGCCTCGAGCGCGACGACCTGTTCCTTGCCGTGCACGAGCAGTTCATGACCGACACCGCGCGCTACGCCGACATCGTGCTGCCGGCGACGACCTTCCTGGAGCATGACGACATCTATGTGGGCGGCGGCCACAGTTACCTGCTCATGGGCGCCAGGGTGATCGAGCCCTACGCCCAATCGCGCTCCAACCACGACGCGATCCGTGCGCTCGCCAAGCGGCTCGGCGCCGAGCATCCGGGTTTCGACATGACGGCGTGGGAGCTGATCGACGCGACGCTCAAGCGCTCGGGCCATCCCGACGCCGAAACGCTGAAGGCCATGCGCTGGAAGGACTGCATGCCGGACTTCGAGACCGCCCATCACCTCAAGGGCTTCGGCTGGCCGGACGGGCGCTTCCGCTTCAAGCCGGACTGGGCAGCCATGGGGCCGCGCGGCGCCGAGATGCCGGCCTTCCCCGACCACATGGCGGCGATCGAGGCGCCGGACACCGAGCATCCCTTCCGCCTCGTCACCGCGCCCGCGCACAACTACCTCAATTCGAGCTTCACCGAGACGCGCACCAGCCAGGCCAAGGAGACACGGCCCTCCGCCCTCTTCCACCCCGGCGACGCCCGCGACCTCGGCTTCGCCGACGGCGACCGCATCCGCATCGGCAACCGGCGCGGCTCCATCCTGATCCATGCGCGCATCGCGCACGGCAACGGCAGGGCGCCCGGCGCCGCGACCGGCAACGGCCAGCAGCGCGGCGTCGTCATCGTCGAGAGCATCTGGCCGAACACCGCCTTCGAGGAAGGGCTCGGCATCAACGCGCTGACCTCGGCCGACCCCGGCTATCCCAACGGCGGTGCTGTGTTCCACGACACCGCCATCTGGGCCCGCCCGCGAACTAGCGCGCATTTTTCACCTCGGCCACGGGGCCTAGCCCGCAGGCGTCTTCCGTCCACGCGCGCGGGGCGCGCGCGATGCGAGCGGTACAGAAAAAATTTGAGCGGGATTCGCCGGGATTAAGTGGGATAAGTGGGATTCCGCGGGTCAAGCGCCGGCCGTCCTCCATGACGACGGCGGGGACTGCGCGCGGCAGCCGCCCAGGCGGCGAGCGCCCACTTATCTTGCCTTCGCCCGCCGCGGCCCGCCCGTTCCTGCACTGCGCCGCGCGGATACGCGCGCGGGAAGACGATCGATCCATCGCGCAATCCTGGCGCGGGCGGCACGCGCCGTGCACCGCACCATGGGCCGGAGTCGCGCACGCCCAAAGGGTCGTGCGCGCGGCATAAAGAGTCCGCGGGCCTGAGTCGCCCGCGCCCGAAGGGTCGCGGGCGCGGAACAGTCCGCGCGCCCCGGGCGGTCAGTCGCCGGTGAGCAGGCGCTCTACCAGCTGGCGAACGCTCGGGATGAAGCGGTTCGAGTAGAAGGGGTCGCTCGCGAAGCGGAAGGCCGCGTGGCCGGCGAACATGAGCTGGTTGTCGATGTCTTCGCCGTGGATGATCTCCTGCAGCGTCTTCTGGATGCAGTAGCTGCGGGGATCGGTCTTCTTGCCGGTCGAGCCCAGCTCGTTGGTCGCCCAGTTGCTGAACCGGCAGGCGCTGAGGCAGCCCATGCAGGCCGCCTGATCGGCCCTGATTTCGCGCGCCTTCTCGTTGGTCACGAAGACGATCGTGGTGTCGGGGGTCTTCATCACCGAGTTGAAGCCCTCCTCCATCCACTCTTCGGCTCGCGCCAGGTCGCCCTTGGTCAGATAGAAGGTGCGCCCGCGCGGCCCCGGGGTGAACACATGGTCGTGGTCACCGATGGGCTCGGCGGTGTAGGCGACCTGCCGGTGCTCGCGCTCGGCGAGCTCCCTGATGAAGTCGTTGCGCACCGCAGACGAATAGAATCCGGTCGGGCTGAAGCGGTTGAGCTTCACGTCCCCCTCCTTCATCGACAGCAGCTTGCGCTTCCACTGCTCGGAGATGGGGCTCTCCTCGGTCACCAGCGGGCGGGTCCCGAACTGGAAGACGATGGGCCCGAGCTCGGGATTGTCGATCCAGTCCTCCCAGTCGCGCAGGTACCAGACGCCGCCCGCCATCACGATGGGCACGTCGTCGAGACCGCATTCGCGCATCTGCTCGCGCAGCGCAAGGACCCGCGGATAGGCGGGTTCGGGCTGTTCCGGGTCTTCGCTGTTGGAGAGGCCGTTGTGGCCGCCGGCGCGCCAGGGGTCCTCGTAGACGACGCCGCCCATCCAGTCGGAGAAGCGATGGTAGGCGCGCTTCCAGAGCGCGCGGAAGGCCCGCGCCGACGAGACGATCGGGTAGTAATTGACTTCGTACTGCGCGGTCACTTCGGCCAGGCGGTAGGGCATGCCGGCGCCGCAGGTCACGCCGTGAATGAGGCCGCGCGTCGCCTCGAGGACGCCGTTCAGGATACGCTCGGCGGCGGCCATCTCCCACAGCACGTTCATGTGGAGCCGCCCTCCGCCGCCCGAGACGTCGTGGGCTATCCGCGCCTGGGCGATGCCGCCCCTGATGGCGTAGTCGACGAGCTCCTCGTGGCGCTCCTTGCGGGTGCGGCCGCGATAGATCTGCGGAATGGCCCGGCCGTTCTCGTCGTAGTAGTCGGCATTGACGCCGGAGAAGGTGCCGACACCGCCGGCGGCGGCCCAGGCGCCCGAGCTCAGGCCGTTGGTCACGCCGATGCCCTTGCCCCCTTCGATCACGGGCAGGACCTCGCGCCCAGACAGCCTGATTGCGTTCAACGCCCTCATAGTCGGTCCGTCCACCGTTGCGCCTGGCTCGATCCTAGCGCCGTGGCGAGGCAGGGTGACGGGCCGGCGCCGCCGCTGCACCGCGATGTGGGCAGCGGGGGCGCCGATTGCAAGATGTCGCTTCTCTTGGCGGCTTTTACTACCCAGCCTGCGCTTTCTCTTCGGCCGCGCTCAGGTCCTCTCCGCTCTCCTGATTCACGGCCCTCATGCTCAGCTTGACCTTACCGCGGTCGTCGACGCCGAGCACCTTCACTTTGACGTTATCGCCTTCGCTCAGCACGTCGCTCACGCTCTTGATCCGGCGCGGGGCGATCTCGCTGATATGAACCAGGCCGTCGCGCTTGCCGATGAAGTTCACGAAGGCGCCGAAGTCGACGATCTTGACCACCTTGCCGTCGTAGATCACGCCGACCTCAGGCTCGGCAATGATATCGCGGATCATGTTGATCGCCGCCTCCGCCGCCTCGCCCTCGACGGCCGCAACCTTGATGGTGCCGTCGTCCTCGATGTCGATCTTGGTCCCGGTGGTCTCGCAGATTTCGCGAATGATCTTGCCGCCGGGGCCGATGATCTCGCGGATGCGGTCCTTTGGAATCGAGAAGGTGGTGATGCGGGGCGCATTGTCGCTCACGCTGTCGCGCGCACGAGAGAGCGCCTTCGCCATCTCGCCGAGGATGTGCAGGCGGCCGTCGCGCGCCTGGGCGAGCGCGGTGCGCATGATCTCCTCGGTGATGCTGGTGATCTTGATGTCCATCTGCAGCGACGTGATACCCTGCTCGGTGCCCGCGACCTTGAAGTCCATGTCGCCGAGATGATCCTCGTCGCCGAGGATGTCGGAGAGCACCGCGAAGCGCTCCTCGTCCTTGATCAGCCCCATGGCAATTCCGGCGACGGGCCGAGTGACGGGAACGCCGGCATCCATCAGCGAGAGCGATGCCCCGCACACCGTCGCCATCGACGAGGAGCCGTTCGATTCCGTGATCTCCGAGACCACGCGGATGGTGTAGGGGAATTCCTCGGCATCCGGCATGAGCGGATGAAGCGCCCGCCAGGCGAGCTTGCCGTGGCCGATCTCGCGCCGGCCGGGGCCACGCAGGAAGCGCGCCTCGCCCACCGAATAGGGCGGGAAGTTGTAGTGCAGCATGAAGCGCTCGCGGTACTCGCCCTCGAGCATGTCCATGATCTGCTCGTCCTGGCCGGTGCCGAGGGTCGCGGTGACCAGCGCCTGGGTCTCGCCGCGCGTGAAGAGCGCCGAGCCGTGGCTGCGCGGCAGCGCGCCGACCTCGCACTCGATGGCGCGAACATCGCTGGTCGTCCGCCCGTCGATGCGCGCTCCGCTGTCGAGGATCTGCCCGCGCACGATGTCCTTCTCAAGCGACTTCAGCGTTCCGTCGAGGATGCCGGCAGCGCCTTCCTCCTCACGGAACTGCGCGGCGGTCTCCGCCTTGGCCGCCGTCACTTTCTCCATCCGTTCGGTCTTGCCGGCGATGGCATAGGCTTCGCGGAGCGGAGCCTCGGCACTGGCACGGATGCGCTCGACGAGCGCCGTGTCCACCTGCTCCTCTGGCAGTTCCCAGGGCTCCTTCGCGCAGGCCTCGGCAAGGCTGACGATGGCTTCGATCACCGGCTTGATCTCTTCGTGACCGAAGGTCACGGCGCCCAGCATCTGATCCTCGGAGAGCTCGGACGCCTCCGATTCGACCATGAGCACGCCCTCTAGCGTCCCGGCCATGACCAGATCGAGGTCGGAGGCCGCGCGCTGCTCGTAGGTCGGGTTCAGCACGTAGGCGCCGTCGGCGAAGCCCACCCGGCAGCCCGCGATCGGCCCCATGAAGGGTAAACCCGAGATGGTGAGCGCGGCCGACGCGCCGATCATGGCGACGATGTCGGAATCGTTGATCAGGTCGTGCGAGAGCACCGTGCAGATAACCTGAGTTTCGTTGCGAAACGACTTGACGAAGAGGGGCCGGAGCGGCCTGTCGATGAGACGGGAGACCAGGGTTTCCTTCTCGCTCGGGCGCCCTTCGCGCTTGAAGAAGCCGCCCGGGATCTTGCCGGCGGCGGACGCTTTCTCTTCATAGTTGACTGTCAGCGGGAAGAAATCCTGCCTCTCCCGCGCCCAACGCTGGCCGACGACCGTGCAGAGCACCGCCGTTTCGCCGTAGCTCGCGAGGACTGCGCCATCCGCCTGGCGGGCGATGCGCCCCGTTTCGAGGACGAGCTTGCGCCCGCCCCACATGGCCTCACGACGTGTGATATCGAACATGCTGTTTCCTTCGTTCCATTGGCGAGCCGCTAATTCGGCGCGCCCCTACACAGGCGCAACGCCGGTGGCGGCGGCCCATGCCGCGCCTCCCGCCGTGCCCTCTTGACCCGCGTGCCGCATCCTGGCGGACCACGCGAACGCCAATACTATTTCCGCAAACCCAGCCGCTTAATCACGGTGGCATAGCGCTCCTGATCGCTGCGCTTCAGATAGTCGAGCAGGCGGCGCCTGCGGCTGACCATCTTCAGGAGGCCCCGCCTCGAATGAAGATCCTTCTTGTGGGTCCGAAAATGCTGGGTCAGGTTGTTGATCCGCTCTGTCAGGATCGCAACCTGGATTTCAGGCGAGCCGGTATCGTTGGTCTTGGTGGCGTAATCCGATATCAGCTCTGTCTTCCGCACCGCGGTGATCGACATCTGGCTACTCCGCATTTCACATGTTGAAGACCCGCACCGGGCGGGCCTGACCCGCGCCGACTTCGGCTAGCGCCACGAGCCGGGACCCGGCGATGGCGCGGACCCTCCCGGGTGCCGCACCGTGCGCGGGCACGGGCTGGCCGTGGCGCAGACGATCTGCCTCGCGTGCGGTCAGGGGCAGTGCCGGGATGTCGGCCAGCGCCGCGTCGACCGGAAGCAGGCTTTCGGCGAGGGCCAGACTATGCCCGAGCGCGACCAGTTTATCCAGTGGTTTCGCATCCTCTTCGGCGAACGGCCCGACCGCAGCGCGGTGCAGCCAACTCACGTGACCCACCGTTCCGGCGGCGCGCGCGATGTCGCGGGCCAGCGCTCTGACATAGGTTCCCTTGCCGCACTCGACCACGAAGGCAGCGCCGTCGTCGTCGGCCTTCGTCAGCGTCAGGCTCATGACATGGACGGTGCGCGGCGCAAGCTGCGGCGGCCGGCCCTGGCGCGCCAGCGCATAGGCGCGCTCGCCACCGACCTTGAGGGCGGAATACGCAGGCGGCACCTGCTCGATCCGGCCGATAAAGCGGGGAAGCACGTTTGCGACCGTCGATCCGGCGGGTCGACTTTGGCTTGTCTCGATGACCGTACCTTCGGCATCGTCCGTATCGCGCTGCTCCCCCCAGCGCACGCCGAAGCGGTAGCGCTTGGGTGCATCCATCATGAAGGCGACCGTCTTGGTGGCCTCGCCGATAGCCACCGGCAGGACTCCCGTGGCCATCGGATCGAGCGTGCCCGCATGCCCCACCTTTGCGCCGCGGCCGACCGCGGACTTGATGCGGGCGACGACGGCGCAGAGGTAATCCCGCCGGGCTTGTCGACCACCAGCCAGCCGTGGGGGCCGCGTGCAGCGGTTTTCTCAGTCATCGGCCTCAGTCATCGGTGCCGCCACTTGTGTCCAGCAGCCTGTCGATGTGCGCCACGTTCTCGAAGCTGCGGTCGAGCTCGAAGCGCAGAGTGGGCGAGAACTTCAGCCTGACCCGGCGGTTCACCTCGCCGCGCAAGTATCCTGCGGCGCGCTGCAGAGCGTCGATCGTCTCCGCCGCCCGGTCGCCGCCGAGCGGCATCACATAGACCTTGGCGGAGCGCAGATCAGGCGCCGGCCGAACCTCGGTCACGGTGAGGCGCATGTCGCTCAACACGGGATCGCGGAACTGGGCGCGGGCAAGCGACTCGGACAGCGCTTCCCTGATGAGCTCGCCGACCCGCCGTTGCCGTTTGGCTCGGCGCTCCGGCGCTGCCGCTCCTCCTCGTCATCGACCGTTGGGCAAGCGCGCTCTACGCCTCCAGCGTGCGCGCGATCTCCTCGATCTCATAGAGCTCGATGACGTCGCCCTCGCGCAGATCGGAATGGTTCTCGAACGACATGCCGCATTCGTAACCTTCCTTCACCTCGCGCACATCGTCCTTGAATCGCCGGAGCGTCTTGAGCGCGCCATCGTGGATGACGACATCGTCGCGCAGCAGCCTCGCCTTCGAGCCCCGGCGCACGAGGCCGTTGGTCACCCTGCATCCCGCGATCCTGCCCACGCGGCCCACCTCGAACACCTGGAGGATCTGAGCGTTGCCCAGTGTCCGCTCGCGCGCCTCCGGGCGCAGCATCCCTTCGAGACTGGCTCTGACCTCGTCGACGACGTCGTAAATGACGGCGAAATAGCGAAGTTCGATCCCGGTGCGCGCGGCGAGCTCGCGTGCCTGTGCGTTGGCGCGCACGTTGAACCCGAAGACCGTCGCGTCGGACGCCGCGGCGAGCGTCACGTCCGCTTCGGTGATGCCGCCGACGCCCGAATGGAGCACGCGCGCCGCCACCTCGTCTGTGCCGAGCCGCGCGAGCGCGCCGACCAGCGCCTCCGCCGAGCCCTGGACATCGGTCTTGATGACGAGCGGAAGCTCGCTCTTGCTCTCCTTCTCCTGGATCTCGGAGAAGAGCTGCTCCAGGTTGAGCGGGGCGCCGCGCGCGACCTCCTTCTCTCTGGTACGCGCGTGGCGGAACTCGGAGACCTCGCGAGCCCGGCGCTCGTTCTCGACCACCACGACTTCATCGCCTGCCTGGGGCGCGCCGCTGAGCCCGAGTACCTCGACCGGCACCGCCGGTCCCGCCGCCTTGGTGGCAGCGCCGTGGTCGTCGTACATCGCCCTCACCCGGCCCCATTGCGCGCCGGCAACGACGATATCGCCGATGCGGAGCGTGCCGCGCTGGACCAGTACGGTCGCCACCGCGCCGCGCCCGCGGTCCCACCTTGGCCTCGATCACGACGCCTTCGGCAGCGCGGTCCGGGTTGGCGGTGAGCTCCAGCAACTCCGCCTGGAGCAGGATCGCCTCCTCCAGCTTGTCGAGGTTGAGCTTCTGGGTCGCCGATATCTCGACGGCGAGCACGTCGCCGCCCATCGCCTCGGTCACGATTTCGTGCTGGAGCAGGTCCTGGCGCACGCGGTTGGGATCGGCGTCCGGCCGGTCGATCTTGTTGATGGCGACGAGGATGGGGACGCCCGCCGCGCGCGCGTGATTGATTGCCTCGGCGGTCTGCGGCATGACGCCATCGTCCGCCGCCACCACGAGAACCACGATATCCGTCACGCTCGCGCCGCGAGCGCGCATCTCCGTGAAAGCGGCATGGCCCGGCGTGTCGATGAAGGTGATGCGGGCGCCCTTGGGGGTCTCCACCTGGTAGGCACCGATGTGCTGCGTGATCCCACCTGCCTCGCCGGAGGCAACGTCGCTGGAGCGAATGGCGTCGAGCAGCGACGTCTTGCCGTGATCGACATGGCCCATGACCGTGACCACGGGCGAGCGGATGAGCAGAGCGTCGATTGTATCGTCCTCGCCCTTGAGCCCGATCTCGACATCGGCCTCGCTGACGCGCCTGACCTTGTGGCCGAACTCTTCGACCGCGAGCTGCGCCGTGTCGGCATCGATCGATTGCGTGATGGTCACGATCGTACCCATCTCCATCAGGCGCTTCACGACCTCGGCGCCGCGCACGGCCATGCGGCTCGCAAGATCCTGCACCGTGATCGCCTCGGGTACCACGACCTCGCGCACGACCGGCTTGGAGCTCGTCGGCGCGCATCGCCTCCCGCGCAAGGCGCTTCTCACGGTCGCGTTGGCGGCGCAGCGACGCAAGGCTGCGCCCGCGCTGCTCGCCGACGGTGCCGTCGAGGGCCTCCGAGAGCCTGATCTTGCCACCGCGCCGGCGGGGCTGGTCACGCCGCGAAGGGCTGGCGGGGCGACGCTGCTCGCCGCGACGGCGGGGTCTCCCGCGCTCCTCTTCCGCCGGGGCTGCGCCGGGCCGGGCGGGTCGTACCGCGCCCGCCGCCCCCGGAGCGGCGGCGGCTTCCGCCTTGGGCTCCTCCGGCTGTGGAAGCCTCCGTGCGGCATCCTCCTCCGCCCTCTTGCGCGCATCTTCCTCGGCCTTGCGGCGGGCGTCCTCTTCGCTCTTCCGCCGCTCGGCCTGGGCGTGCTCGGCGGCATGTCGTTCTTCCTCCACAGCGCGCCGGCGGGCTTCCTCTACCGCCCGCTCCCGCTCTTGACGCTCAGAGCGCACCGCGTCCTCGACGGCGCGCGCGCGGGCGGCCTTCTCGTCGCTCGTCAGCGTGCGCAGAACGACCCGGGAGCGCGGCGCCCTGGAAGTTTGGTACACGTCATCCTGAGGCAGGGGCGGCGCCTCGGCCACGGGCTCGGGCGGCGCTGCCCTGGGCGCTGCCTTCGGCTTGGGCGCCACTGCCCCCCCATCGGCCGCAGGGCCACGCTTCAGCGTACGCTTCTTGCGCACCTCGACGGCGACAGCGCGGCTGCGGCCGTGGGAAAAACTTTGCCGCACCTGGCCGGCGTCGACCGTCTCCTTGAGCTCGAGTCGCCCTGGTCGCTTCAACGACAAGGGCTTGCGTCGCTCCTGATCACCGGCTTCGGTTTCGTCACTCATTATGCCTTATCCCGGTCGCCGGATTCTGCACGCACGCCACCAAGCCGCGCTGATTCCCGAAGGAAACGATCGGCGAGCCCGCCAGGCGCCAACGCGGCGTGCACCACATTCTCACGGCCCAGGCTGCGGCTCAACGCGGCACCGTCGAATTGCGCGATCACGGGAATGTCCCGCGCGAGCGCGCCGAGGCGCGCCCGGCCGTGCCGCGCGCCGTCGCTCGCCTCGACCAGGACAGCCACCCGCCGCTCTACGAGCGCGCGTTGCACCTTGTCGAAGCCCGTGATGAGAGCGCCTGCGCGCCGCGCCAAACCCAGAATATCCAGCCCCCGTGCGGTTAACTGCCGCTCCACCTCGTCGATCAGATCGGCGCCACGGCAATCGGCCTGCGTGCGGCGCGCGCGAACAGCCCGCGCTCGCAGGCCTTTTCCAGCGTGGCGCGCTCGGCCGAGACCCAAAGGCCCCGCCCAGGCAACGATTCGCCGAGGTCCGGCACCAACGCCCCGCCCGGGTCGACCACGAAGCGCAGCAAGGCGTCGCGGGGCCTGCTGACGCCGCTCGCGATACAGCGCCGGAAGCCGGCATCCGACGAGGCCGGACGCTCATCCATGTGTGCCCGCGCGGTCAAACGTTCGCTCTCTCGTGCTCTTCGGCCGCGGCCTCGGCGGCCTCGTCGGCCTCCGCGCCATCGACAGGCTCTTCGTCGCCGAACCAGTGGGCCCTCGCCATCATGATGACGGCGTTGGCCTCCTCGATCGAGGGCGCGAGGTCGCCCAGGATCTCGATGAGCTCATCGCCGGCGAGATCGCCGAGATCATCCAGCGTCTTGATCTCGTTCTCGCCGAGGGCGACGAGGATCGCCGGATCCAGGCCCTCGATGGCAGCCACCTCGTCGCTGACGCCGAGCTCGAGCCGACGTTCGTTCAGCGCGCGGTTGGTCGCTTCGACATGGGCCGCGGCGCGGGTGGCCAGCTCGCTCGCCAGCTCTTCCTCGAAGCCCTCGATCGCAGCCAGCTCGTCGATCGGCGCGTAGGCCACCTCGTCGACGGTGGAGAACCCTTCCGTCACCAGCAGGTGGGCGATCACGTCGTCGACGTCGAGCGCCTCCATGAACATCTCGGAGCGCGAGTGGAACTCTTCCTGACGGCGTTCCGATTCCTCGGCCTCGGTCAGGATGTCGATGTCCCAGCCGGTGAGGTTGGACGCGAGCCGGACGTTCTGCCCGCGCCGGCCGATGGCAAGCGAGAGCTGCTCATCCGGCACCACCACCTCGATACGCTTCGATTCCTCGTCGAGCACGACCTTGGTCACCTCGGCCGGCGCGAGCGCGTTGACGATGAACGCCGCAGGATCGGGCGACCACTGAATGATGTCGATCTTCTCGCCCTGGAGCTCGCCGACGACCGCCTGCACGCGGGAGCCGCGCATGCCGACGCAGGCGCCGACGGGATCGATGCTGCTGTCGTTGGAATGAACGGCGATCTTGGCGCGGCTGCCGGGGTCGCGGGCCACGGCGTCGATCTCGATGATGCTGTCGTAGATCTCCGGCACTTCCTGGGCGAAGAGCTTGGACATGAAGTTCGGGTGGGTGCGGGACATGAAGATCTGCGGCCCGCGCGGTTCGCGCCGGACGTCGTAGATGTAGGCGCGCACGCGGTCGCCGTTGCGGAAGGATTCGCGCGGCAACAGGTCTTCGCGGCGGATCACCGCCTCGGCCCGGCCCAGGTCGACGGTGAGCCCGCCATACTCGGTGCGCTTGACGAGGCCGTTCGCAATCTCCTGCACGCGATCCTTGTATTCCTCGTACTGACGCGCCCGCTCGGCCTCGCGAACCTTCTGGACGATCACCTGCTTCGCCGTCTGCGCCGCGATGCGGCCGAAGTCGATGGGCGGCAGCGGATCCGCCAGATAGTCGCCGACCTGCGCGGCCGGATTGCGCTCCTGAGCCTCGCTGATCGGGATCTGGGTGGCCTCGTTCTCGATCTCTTCGGCGACCTCCAGGTAACGCATCAGCTTGATCTCGCCGGTCTCGCGGTCGATATCGGTGCGGATATCGTGCTCCTGACCGTACTTTCTCTTACCGGCGTGGGTGATCGCCTGCTCCATCGCCTCGAGCACGAGCTCGCGCTCGATCCCCTTCTCCCGGGCGACGGCATCGGCCACCTGGAGGAGCTCTATGCGGGCCAGGCCCGCGGTGTCCTGATCCGCCATCACAGCCGCTCCGCCGCCTGGCTCGCGGCCAGCAATTCGTCGGTCAGCACGAGCTTCGCCGCGCGAATCATGTCATAGGGCAGCGAGACGTCGTGATCGTCCACGGTCATGCGCACGCATCCGTCGCCGGCGCCCTGCAGCCGGCCGCGAAAGCGGCGGCGGCCCTCCAGCGGCTCGCTCATCTCCACCTTGGCCTCGAATCCGGCGAACCGCGCGAAGTCGGCGAGCCGCACCAGCGGCCGGTCGATTCCCGGCGAGCTCACCTCCAACGTATAGTCGGCAGCAGGCAGGTTGTCGTTTTCGAATTGTGCCGAGATGGCGCGGCTTGCCGCAGCACAGTCGTCTACGGTCAGCGGCACGCGGTCAGCCCGCTCGATCATCACTTGAAGCACCGTCTGCATACCCCCGCCGAGGCGGATCCGAACGACCTCGTAGCCCATCGCCGCCAGCACCGGTGCAATCGCACGTTCGATCTGCCGTTCCGTGTCCACGTCTCGCGTCTTCGTCAAACCACAGGACAGAAAAAAGGCGGGCCAGCACTGCCCACCACGATCACTCAAAACCCTGGGCATACACTACGCGGCGCCCCTCGCGCCCGAAGAGCACCGCGCCGCTACCCTATCGCGCATAGTGCCCCTGCTTCAAGGAGTTTCTCCCCGGTGCCGGCGCAGAGGCCGTTGCAATCGAGGCACGGAAGGGCACCTCGCCATCGCCCCCGAGCCCCTGACTATCGAGGGATGCGGACGTAGCGGAGGAAGACCGGCGCCCGGCCGGCGGCGCGGGCCTTTTGCTCATAGCGGGTCTCGGGCCAGTCGGCCGGCTGGGAAGGCCAGTCGCCGGATCGCTGCTCAGGCCCCGAGAACGCCCCGCTCGCCGCGACTCGCTCGAGCGTCCACTCCACATAGTCCATATCGTCGGACGCCCATCGGAACTCCGTGCCATCCTTCAGGATGCGGGCGAAGCCGGCGAGGGTTTCCGCATCGATCAGGCGGCGCTTGTGGTGGCGATTCTTGGGCCAGGGGTCGGGAAACAGCACGAACAGCCGGCCGATGGAGGCGTCCGGCAGGCGATCGAGCAGGAGCCGTGCGTCGTCGGGGAAGATGCGGACCCGTCCGCTGGTGCCGTCCGCCTCAAGATGGCGCAGGAGGCCCGCAACGCCCTGGACGAAGGGCTCGCAGCCGATGAACCCCACGTCCGGATTGGTGCGCACCTGATGGGCGAGGTGCTCGCCGGCGCCGAAGCCGATCTCGAGCCAGAGGTCGCGGACCGGCGCCGGGAAGAGGCCGTTCAGCTCGAGTCGCGCCTGCTCATCGTCGGGCACGCGATCCGAAGCCCCGGCAGGGCACGCTCGAGCAGCGCCTGACGGCCGGGGCGGAGCCGGTAGCCGAGTCTGCGCCCGTAGACGCGGCGCCGACGATCCTCCATCGCGCGGAAGGTGGGGCGCCGGCCGGGCGCCCCCTCACCCCACCGCGGAGAGAAGCGGGTCGACGAGGTCCGTCCGCTCCCAGGAGAAGCCGCCGTCGGCCTCGGGCTCGCGGCCGAAGTGGCCGTAGGCCGCCGTCCGCTCGAAGATCGGACGGGCGAGGTCGAGATGCTCGCCGATGCCGCGCGGCGAGAGGTCCATCGCCGACTCGAGCGCTTTGGCGAGTCTTGCCTCATCGATCTCGCCGGTACCGTGGGTATCGACATAGACCGCCAGCGGATAGGCGACGCCGATCGCATAGGCGAGCTGGATGGTGCAGCGCGACGCGAGGTTGGCGGCGACGACGTTCTTCGCCAGATAGCGTGCCGCGTAGGCCGCCGAGCGGTCGACCTTGCTCGGATCCTTGCCCGAGAAGGCGCCGCCGCCGTGGGGTGCCGCCCCGCCATAGGTATCGACGATGATCTTGCGTCCCGTCACCCCGGCATCGCCATCGGGCCCGCCGATGACGAAGCGGCCGGTCGGATTGACGTAGAACCAGTCCTCCTCGCACATCCACCCGTCGGGGAGCGCGGCCACGACGTAGGGGCGCACGATGGCGCGTACGTCGTCCTGGGAGAGTTCCGCCGCATGCTGGGTCGAGACGACGACCGAGGTGGCGCCCACCGGCACGCCGTCCTCATAGCGGAGCGTCACCTGGCTCTTGGAGTCGGGCCCGAGGCCGGGCGCATCGCCCGCGTGCCTGGCGCGGGCCAGCGCGGCCAGGATCGCGTGGGCATAGTGGATGGGCGCCGGCATGAGCGCATCGGTCTCGCGGCAGGCATAGCCCGAACATGATGCCCTGGTCGCCCGCGCCCTGGTCCTTGTTGCCGGCCTGGTCCACGCCGAGCGCGATGTCGGCCGACTGAGCGTGAACATGGATCTCGACCGCGGCCTTGGCCCAGTGAAAGCCCTCCTGCTCGTACCCGATTTCGCGAACGCAGGTCCGCGCGATGGACTCAAGGGCCTCGCTGGTGATCGACTCGGGGCCGCGGACCTCGCCGGCCAGCACCATCCGGTTGGTCGTGACCAGGGTCTCGCAAGCCACACGGGCGTTGGAATCGAGCGCCAGGTAGGCATCGACCACCGCATCGGAAATGCGGTCGCAGACCTTGTCCGGGTGCCCTTCCGACACCGATTCGCTGGTGAACAGGTATTCCCCTCGCCCCACGGCTTCCCCCGATTTCGATGATGTTGCGGAGGCGGGCGGCGACCGGCCGCGCCGCCGCGGCGGTTTTCGCAGCGTTCGCGGGGGCGGTCAGCGGTGGCGCCGCGGGCGAGCGCCTGGGCGCGACCCGAAGGGCGGCGCTGTCCGTGACCCTGGCGAGAAATGCGGGCTAAGTCCCGCCGGAGCGAGAGCGTGCCCTACCGACCGGGAGAGAGCGAATGCTGGCCGATATTCGAGGCGTGACGATCAACTACGAGGTTTCGGGAAACGAGAACGGGCCTTGGCTGACCTTTTCCAACTCGCTGGCCACGAACCTGCGCATGTGGGACGAGCAGGAGGCCGCGCTCGCCGGAGACTTCCGTATCCTGCGCTACGACAAGCGCGGACACGGCAAGTCGGCGCCCGTCGAGGGACCTATTCGTTCGACGATCTGATCGGCGACATCGTCGGCCTCTGGGATCGCCTGGGTATCCGGCAGAGCTATGTCGTGGGTCTCTCGATCGGCGGGATGACGGCGCAGGGGTGACGCTCCGCCATGCCGACCGGGTCGCAGCGACCGTCATGGCCAACACC